AAGATAGTTAATCTTGGCTGGCAGGGAGCGACAGTTAGTACTCATGATTGCAGGAACGGTCATAAATTGAATAGGGGTGTTTTTTAAGGCTCTTTGCCACCCGGCGTGATGCTTTTTTTTGTCTTTTTTGTGGCATTTCCGATCAGTAGGTTTTAAGGATATTAAATACTCACGAGGATAAATAATCCGATTTGAGGACATATTAGAATAAAATTTAATTATTTAAAATAAAATTGGAAGTGAGCAATTAGATGCAATATGATTTGTAATGATTAAGGTATTTGGTAGCCCAAGATTTAAGCAGGCCGCCAAGGTGAGTTGCTTTTGGTAGGTTTGGTAGGGATTTCGTTTAATTGCATGGAGGATTTCATCATGAGCTGACATCAGTTAGAATTCAAGGACCATTGCATCGGGTCCCAGTGTCTCAATGGTCTACGAGCTCGCCTTGTAACCAGAAGGTCCTGGGTTCGAATCCCGGTGAGCGCGTACTGATGAAGAGTCCCAAACTAGGACGAAACAGCTGTCCAGTACTCCCAGGTTTTCCAGTGGTTCTCTAACTGATGTCAGCTCATGATGAAATCCTCCATGCAATATACATAATACCTTGTATTTACTCTCAGGTCAACTACATAGGTCAGACTGGTAAATTGCGGGTAATCGGATTATTGGAATATAGAAATTTAAGTAAATGAAGAATGCTTGACCCCACCAGGATAAACAGCTCAGGGAAAACCTCATCAACTGTAATGCATGTATTAACAAACAATCACAAAATACAGTGGGAAAGAGTTGCAGTTCTATAAGTAATATGGCTTGGTGGAAGGAGAAGTTGAACAGTGATTACTTCTCCAATGAATGACGGGACGCCGATAATATAGATAAAAAATAATACTGCCAGTAAAATCAAAGGGTGGGAAATAACTGAATTCAGACTACTGGATTCACGAGCATTTTGGAATTATTTCAATTGTTAAATTTTCGTTGCCAAACACTATCAGTTAGAGAGACCATTTAAAATCACTGCATCACTGTTTCGTCCTATTTTGGGACTCAACAGAAACGCACCCTCATGACTCTGGTTCATGACAAATATCTAATAGCTGAAAATAGTGGAATTATATAAATGAAGTTTGAAAGTTGTGCGAGGGTCACTATATGATTATAGGCAGCAATAAATTGTGCTCGTGACGTCATCAGTATCGTTGTGAATGTTTATCAGGTGAATTTACTCCACCACGGTGCCGAAGTTGTATTTAGATATTCCTTAGATTTATTTTGAGATAATTTGAAAATGTGGTTGTTTATGCATACATATATAAGTAAATCTACAGCCAAGGCAAGCTAAAGCACCAACAGCTCCTACAAAGGAATGGTTCTTACAACTTCATTTCTCTGGTGATAACACCGGTGAAGTGATAGCGCAACGTTTTGGTATTACCGTAAGAATAGCATTCATTGGCTCAGAAGCACAATATTTCTGCTTAACCATCCCCATTTTAAGTTCGTAAGTGAAAGATAAACCAACTCATTTTGTGTATACATGGCCAAGTTAAACTTTAAGCACTACTAACTACCACTGGAGTGCGACCTCACCAATGACCTTGAAACGCTCACCAAGTAAGTTAGTGAAATCCGGTAAATATTGTTGCTATCATCAATAAAATATGGTAATCGAAGTGTTATGTTATCAAATGGGGTATCTGGCAAGTTACAGATTAGGTTTGGGAAAAATGAACCTACTCTTTAAGCCAAGGACAGGTAAGGCTAAGGTTAACCTAGTAAAGGCGACAGTAGGTTTGGTACGAGTTAGATTACAGTTATTTTAGGGATATTTTCACGCAAGGGTTTCCTTCAAGAAGGCTTAGGGTTATTGTTAGGATTAGAAGACCTAAATAATAACATGCATAGAATGTGGTTAAATTTCTCTGTTGATATAAGGACAGAACTTGTGCACTGTGGTAGGGTATAATTCCATTATGGGTAAAATCTGTCTTGGTAAACTCTCAGGGTGTTATACAATAATATTTACTGATGACGTTTTGAGCACAATCTATTGCTCAGTAACACTACAAAAAGCTTGTCAAAATAAATTTTACCGACAATGGAATTATACTCTGTTGATACTCCAACCTAAAACTCAGAGCTGTTTTTATCACATGTGAGAGAAAAGTATTCTCTGTAATACGTTTATACAGTTTTTGTGCAAATTTTCTTCGTAAATATATGTATTCCATACACAAAAATGCCTCCTCCACGTGATAGGTGCGTTCGAGGTCATTCGCTGATTGATAGTTAGTGGAGCTTAAAGTTTAATTTTGCCTCCTCTGCGGTTAAGCAAGGAACAAAGGAAGTCCATTCATAGATTCTGTTCTATCTCATATCATGGATATAGGGTACAATACTGAAGTTAACGTGGCTTCCAAAGTTATCTACCACATACCGACTAATTTTTATTTTAACACAAGATTTCGTCTGTTACAAATTGCTGACGCCGTCCGGATTCACACTAAGAAACCTGATTTATGTATCCAGAAGTAGTTGGTTGAGACGATGTCCTTACCTTGGTTTTCGGTGCTCTAACTATCCTTAATTTGTTATGTAAATTTTCTTAATCTCATCTGATATTCAACTTAGTATCACATTTTTTATGAATTCACTTATCAACCCAATAGATCTGAAGGGAGAGTCTGAAAAGCAGTTAACTAACACGCCTAAGGAACTGAGAAAAAGTGGAGTAATCTCAGAGGCAGCCTATAACCGTCTGAAACCTACTGGAAGTAATACTTCACATCTGCACGGTCTGCACAAAGTACATAAACCAGGAATTCCTCTTCGCCCAGTCCTGGATATGTCAAACTCCTCCTAGCATGGAGTGGCAAAGTGGCTAGGTGAACCCCACCGACCGTTACACAAGATGGTAGTGAATCATAGTGTTAAAGACGTTTTTGAATGCAATGCTAACGTGGATGATATCAATGTGAATGGGAAGCAAACGCTTTCTTTAGATGTAGCATCACTGTTTACCAATGTACCACTTATGGAGACTGTGGAATTCATATGCCAACAGATACTAGAAAAACAAATCGCCATCTGAATTCCAGTTATTAGTCTGAAAGAGTTGCTTTTAAAATGTACTATGAATGTAAACTTCACATTCCACAACCTTTACTACAGGCAAATCGACGGTATTGCCATGGGTTCTCCATTGGGGCCAATTTTGGCAGATTTCTTTCTTGCCAAGATTGAAAATGGTCCATTGAGACAAGTAATAGAGAAAACCGATTCTTATTTTCGTTATGCTTATGATGCGTTTATTATTCTTGATGTGAAAGCTGACAAGAATGAAATGTTAAAAAAGTTTAATGGTGCACATCCATCGCTCATCTTCACTTGTGAAGCAGAACATGATGGTAGACTACATTTCCTTGACGTCCAATTGAGCAGAAGAGAGGATGGTTCACTCAAGAGAGATGTCTATAGAAAACCTACATCTGTAGGGCAATATAAACATTTCCTTAGTTTTGTACCAATCCAATACAAAATCAATTTGGTCAGATGCCTCACGAGTAGAGCAAGACGGATCTGTAAAGATCACTCCCTAGAAAATAGGTTAGGATGCATCCAAAATACGCTGGTCCAAATGGGTTATCCTAGTAGATTTGTAAAGAGACACATGAATACCAGGTACAACAAAGAAAAACTGACAACAGTTAAAAAGAAAGAACTGTTCATGAAACTGCAATTTAATGGGGACGTGGCTTGCGAAGTCTTACATCTGAGATTATCGAGAGCGATAAAACGGACTTATACTGCCGCCACCCTTTGTTTGTCATTTTCCAGCCAACCAATTTTGATTGCTCAAGTGAAAGATAAGCTACCTAGCTGTGCAACTTCGATGTGTATCTATAAATTTAGTAGCTCCTGTGGAGAAAGCTATATAGGGCGAACAACTAGACAGCTTAACAAACGCATTAATGAGCATCTTCTTTCTTGGTTCGGAAAAGGTCAAATAAAATCTATAAGAAGTTCTATTTTAGCTCATTTGATTGCTAGCGGTCACCAAGTGGACAAAAATAGTGCCTTCAAAGTTATCTATCGTATTCCATCGAGTCTTTCGAACGGAATCAGAACCCTTCTTTTACACACAGCCGAAGCTATGGGAATTCGAGAGAACAATCCTTTGATTATTTGATCCATAAAATCACCTTCATTGGATAAATATTTTTATATATGTCTATGTAAATTAGAGTAAAGCCTGAAGAAGATATAATTGAAAACAACATTGTTCACTTGTATGTCTTGTTCTAATATTATAAATGGGAATACTTAAAGATTATTATAACTTGAGCATCTGTCTTGGACTGTAATTACACTGATCGTTACACGTCGACATTATTTGAAATATAATATCAATATTGTTAATGAGGGTTATTCAGGAATATTATACGTGTATACGGATATGTTCCTTTGCATTCCCGGTGGAACATAGGGCTTAAAGCTACAAGCTTTGAAATTCAGTAGCAGTGTTGTTTTTTTAAGGGGTAGGGTTGCTGGCCTCACACCCAACTTTTCTTCTTTGTCGGGAATGTAGCCGACTAAGGGGGTATAGCTATGCTCCGGCCGGGATTCGAGCCCAGGACCATGGACGTGGTTGGCCAGCACTCTACCAATGAATCACCGACGCAGTAAGTATGTAAAAATATATATGTATACTCTATATAGTAGAACCCGAAGAGAAATTTATCCCAAATAATATTCTTTTCTCGAACTTTGTTTTATCTTCTAAATGACCGAATGAGAATTTTTGTTATACAGTTTTCGACATAAGAAAACCCACCTGTTTTTCTCTCAGATTTATGTTAAGATCACGAATTATATAACACGATGAACCACGCATTCTAAGATTATCCAGTGCCACTGGTAATGATCATACCATCACAAGTACCATGTACAATGGATCTTACTGAGTCAGTTAATATAAAAGACTGATACCAACTCACTTTCAAAATACAGAGAACCCATGTTTATTTCTAAATTAGTAGCAGTAAAAGTTACTTGAAATCCAGATGCACAAACAGCACTACCAGTGTCAAGGATTTTTGGTTGCATCATTGCTAAAATATCCAAAAGTTGAAAAAGGTAAATCTGAATTCTGTATGACTGCCTTGCTCTGGAATCTATAACTAGATTGACAGAGAGTAAGTTGAATCCCCCGCGGATAACACTGGTTTCACTGCGTGAAGTTGCCAAACTTTCAAGTGTCCAATACGGAACTTGACTACTTGTCTAAAACGACAAAAGAAAATGGTATGTTCATTAAGGACTTTTGATAAACGTGACTAAGATGAAAATAACATAACTGTACAACACTGTGTGATTTACCAAAATGAAATCTTATCCATAATGGAGTTATACTCTACCACAGTGCCCAATTTTTATACTTATAAGATAAAAATAACAAACTAGAAGTGGCGATGGGCTCTCCAATGAGACCCAGGTTAGTAGGTTTCTTTCTGAATAAACTAGACAGTGGCATTGCAAATAACCTTAACAAAAATTCTTATTTTATTACCCAGTGTATGGATGATGCCTTCACCCTCAGTGAAAAAGATTTGGATAGGAATGTAGTAATTTCTCACTTCAGTGAAGTACAACCAGCCATCGAATTCACTTGTGAAGAAACATCCCTGACTAAAGTAGATTTCTTAGACGTCTTACTGACACAAAAGACCAGACGGTAACATAAACAGAAGTTTGGTCAAGAAAAATACCTGGACCTGTCAATTTACGCATCTTCATGGATTTATTCCTCTCCTGTTTAAAGGAAATTTGTCAAATACCCTCAGTAATAGGATGAGAGCTATTTGTTCATCTGATGCGATTGAAGACAAGCTTAAGGTTGTAAACGACATGTTAAATGAAAGCAGCTACCCTGTAAAGTTCATCACCAAACTCATGGCTAGGAAAGTAAAAAAGGATTCTTCTGTATTTGTTTAGAAGAAGCCTTTTTCTCTTATTCCATATATATATATATATACATATATATATGAATACAATTGGAAGAGTATAAACCAAGCGAAATAATAGACAGCGAGTTGAAAAAATCGATGCAAAGAATGCCTAATGTACGAAAGCCGCAGCTCATATTTTTCACAAAACTGGTTGTGATTCAGAAACTGAATCCAAGTATCCAAGTTAGTAACCTCTAATTTTTGCTATCAGTTCATTTGTTCCCGTTTTTCCACTTGTATGGGTCACTGCTATCGGAACCTAAATTTTTCGCGCTCAGGAACACCTATCAGTTTGGCTAAATAAAGGTGTTGTTACAACTATCAGGATTTACAACAGGTTGCAGACTTTTATCAACAGCTGTCTTCCCTCCATAGTGAATACCAAATAACCATAAAGAATAAGTAACAAGAAACTGCGAAAACAAACCAACAAAGAGCCCATCGCTTAACGAAAATGCAGGAGAAAATGGAAATGGACTGGGCATACGTTTAGGAGGCCGTCGATTGACATCGTGCTCAGTGCAGTTCATCGCCCTAGTGGAATCCGGAAGGGAAGTGACTAGTCGATCGTCCTAGGAGGTCGCGTGGAGAGGGGGAGATGAAAGATTATGGGCATTTCTGGATCTAGGTGAAGAGAACAGCACCAAGTAGACCGGAGTGGAGATGTGCTGTTGAAGCCTTATGTTCCGCTTGGAATCCAAAGGAGTTATAATAATAAAACTATCACTAGTTTTATATTACATCACCTTGTGCAAACAGGGCAAAAAGCTAGCTATCACTGAAGAGTCTTTCTTCATTGTCTATCGGGTACCTAATAAATTACCAAAGGCCATTAGATACCGCACACTGTAAGCAGAGGGAAGGAGCTACTGCTATTCGCTTAAATCAACGAGAGCTCAGCAAGAGTGAAAGAAACTGATCCGACCACTTTAGCCTCCCTAGCCTACTGTCGAACCTATATAAATTCATGAATTCTGTGTTTTTTCTCTAATTTATCTGATTTTCAGTTTAATGTCATAGTAACGCACATTATCTCTCCATAACTGATGCTTTCTAGATGTAATCTATTAATACTATTATTTCATTGTAATTGAAAACATTAATGTCGTTAGTAACAATAACTGATACTGCCGTATAACTGTAGAGCCTGATGATGAATTCATCAAAAAGGATGTTCTTTTATCCCTAATCAGTATTTGAAATATGACTAAGATAAAAAGAAAAAACCCAAATTCACTGTTATGAATTCAAACAGAACTGATTTTAATTTGGATCACTGGTCGATTTCAATTACAGAACCACTGAACACCATCAAGGAGTACTGGACAGGCGTTTCACTCTTGTTTGGGACTCATCAGCAATGTGCATCCATCACCCACCTCTCAGGCATAAAATCCTAAATGTAGTGTGAGCGTTAGGATACTAAATCATTTGTAGACGACCTAATATTTTGGGAGACATAGGTGCTCAAGCAGCCATCACATTGAGAGGCACTGAATAATGATGGAAATTGTAAAATCAAATTGAAGACTTACCAGTTGTGGAGGGGCTGAAAATGCAATCGGTGAAAAAGCAACCTGACCACTGACTAAATAAGCTCCAATAGATACATCCAGTTTTGCTGAAAATTTTGCTGTTCCAATGATCTTGATTGCATACCAAAGAGTTAGTTTGGCATCATAGTTATTCAATGTAGAATCAACATAAATTGAGGGGAATTCGATGACTGCAATATTGCTTTAAAATTGTAGAAACAAATAGGAAAAAAGCGTGTTCATTAACGTGAATATGAGTACACTCACTCTTTTCGTACACAGAGATATTACTTAGTACATCAGATGCCAAGCAGTAATTCTTATTTTTCAAGAGTAAATTTAAGGGATTTGATTTGTACCAAGTTTGAACACTGGCTGACACCAGTTAGAGAACTATCAGAATGCCTCGGAGTACTGAAGGGGTAATTCGACCTAGTCCAGGACTGTTCAGTGGCTTGAATCCACCGGGGTTCCGACGCAAGACCTTCCGATTACAAGGCAAGCTCGTACAACATTCAGCCACTGGGACCAGATTCAATGGCTTATGAATTACAACTTCTAAAGAATTATTTAAATTATTCCTTTTGATCAGATAGTGAAACGATGGTATTAGATTAAGTCAAACTCATGTGTAAATTGCAGTGATAGAAATTGGCATTACCCTGTTGAAAATTTCGATTGTCGTTAATTTCGGACAGAAATAATTATGCCTGTAACACTTCACTGAGCAAAAAAGTGGTGTACAAAAGTATTATAAAGAATTAGATGTTCCTGAATAAGTTTACTGGTGGAATGCCCATCAATCATCACGTGTCCGAGAGTTCAATTCCCGGTCGACACATTTGTAAACCTCAACTAAGTGGTAGTAAGCTTAGTAAAGGGGAAATATTGGGAGTGAAGCTAGCACCTCTGACTTGTGAAAAACCATCAGCGCTATTGAAACTCCATAGTTCTATCTTGAAGACCTATGTTCCACTCGGCGCACAAATCAATGAAATATGGTTTATTGAGTGGATTGCTTTTACTCAATTCCTTGTGGAATATGAGAAAAACTGTGTTAGTTATCGGTACTCCAGACGGTGTAATCCTGATTTCCTGGGAATCCAGTAAACTACAGCCGACAACCAATAAGTTTAATAATTTTAAAACAATGGTATCTTCATTTGTACGCTTATGCAATGATAAAGAGGCCAAGTATCGTCAAATGATATCATTTCATAGATTTCTACGATCGCTTTACAACTAGCATGGTTCACAATTATCAAATAAAATGTATGACAATTGCTTAGTCATATGAAACAAAAGCAAATGCTAATTACCAATCATATTTGATAGGTCAAGTAGTTCATGTGTGGTGGGCAAAGGTTGAAGTCTAATGTTTTCTGTACATATAGTTCGCGGTGCATTTAATTAGTTCCTTAAAGGACTTCGTCAAGTTTAATAATTTTAAATTAAAGTTATAAGACGTCACTAGAAACCAGTCATTTATACTTATTTTGTTATCAAACATTAGTAAATTCTTTGCAATGACTGATGCTGGGTGTCTACTTAAACTGAGTATATACGGTTCCATTATGGAGAAACTTATATTGATTAAGCTTAAGCTCAGTAATATTTACTGATGACGTTTTGAGCACAATTTATTGCTGCTCATAATCATATCAAGCAAGATACTCACACAGATTTCGCACTTCGTTTATATAATTCCATTATTTCTCATCTTTTGATTTGATTGCCAGTAATGTTTTCCAAATTTGTGGTATTGATGATGAATCATTCCAATCGCTTGTTTTGGGTGTAGATTCTATGAAAAAAGATTCAGTAATAAACCTCTCCCTCTATCTACATTAATTTTCAGAATTTTAACTCCATCCCACACTATTGTGTGTTTATGCGTTTATGCAAGCAAAGCAGTTGCTGAATTTTTCCCTAAATTACCTATCTTCTCAGGGTCAGTCATTCTAACTTCAGCTAAATTAATATGTTCTGATAATCCGACTATCCGTTTTTTTACTGTTTTGACCTATGTAGTTGACCTCACATTCACTGCAAGGTAGATTGTAATTCACATTGTTTTGTCTAACTTGGTCAGAACGGTCCTTTAACCTAAAAAAACTTGTCTGTGAGTGAGTTTTCAGGTTGGAATGCCACCCTAACTCCTGATTTATTAGGAATCCTACATATAGTTTCAGATATCCCTTACTTATATCACAAAACTCTGGATACCCTTATATATGTTATCATTATTAGTTTCATTATCTTTTTTATTTTGCTGCTGACCATCTCGGATCTTCTTGATGGGTTTTATAGGACTGTTATTTAACACTGACTCTTCACCTATCCATTTCATTGTTTAGGTTTCTTGTTGTTTTACTACTCAATGCATTGCTCACTTTGTTAGAGACCTCACTAAGCCTGCCTTTACAGATAATGGATGAGATGAATTAAAGTCTAAATATCTATTAGAATGTGTTGGCGTTTTATAAACGCTAGTGTGCAGTTCACTTTATTCTGTGCGTTTTAGTTTGCACTCTAACATGGCTAATTTCCTTTTTTCATTATCTTATTCAAATGCGACTTGTGTTCCTTTTACTACTGAGTTTACGTGTGTGAAGAAACTATAGACATATTCTGTTTCCAACACTGTGAAATTGTCATCTATATATCTCCACCATATCTTTGTATTATGATGAAATGTATTAATAACTTTATTTTCTTACAGAAATCCATTAATACATCTGATAGGATTGAGAATATTGGTTACCCCTCTGCTACAACTTCTGTTTGTCCATAGATGACTACTGGAATGAAGATGGTATCCACTGCTTGTCTGCTTGCGAAATATGTGTCGTCTAACTTTGCCGTCGTCCTACTAAGTCACTGAAAAATCCGGAATATCACGTTGTTATTTATCTGGATTTCTGGATGAATTTCATTAAACAGATTAATGAATTTGTCAACTGATTTATTACTGTTACCAGAGTAAAGTTAATCAGCATACTTTCCATTTCTTTTTCTGATTTTGACGTAAGTGTATCTGTTGACAGAAGATCAAGACAACTCCATTACAACACTGTCAATTTGCTTCTATGTTTTTCCATGGAAATCGAATCGGATGTTGACTATACATGTCAGGATATTTCTAATGTGAGTGAAAGGTGGTTGTACTTAGTTTGTTGTGATATCATCATAAACAAATTCAACAGTTTCGGGAAGTGAAACATTGGTGAACAAAGATTTTTTGTCAGTTGGGTACACAACCTTTTTCTTAATGCTCATAGTGTGGCGAGCGTGTTAACAAGAATAAGTGAATTTTTTATGGAATGCTTTCATAAGGAATCTCTTACGCGGTGGAAGGATATCCGTAGCCCATTTGGCATTTTTATAATATGCGGAATTCCACTTATCTATGATGGGTCTTAATGAGTCTAAATTTATTGACTGAAGCTACTAACTGTTTCAAAGATTGGTGCATTGCTAAACCCAATGTATCATTTATATTACATGGTCTTATGAAGTCAGCGAAAGCTGTGTGCGGGCTACTTATTGGTTGCAGTGATGTATCTTTTTAAAAAATACTTTGTGAGTTATTTTGATCATATGAATTTTCGTTTAAATTCTCCCAATGTTCTAAGTATGAACATCCTACTACACTGCTTGCAGTAAGAGCTTATGCATTTTGACTTCTTTGAAGTTCCGTGTCACAACAGTTTCATTGTTATCACTTCCTTAAACATAATTCTCACTGCCTGACTTTTCCGTCATTCTATACCCTAAGTGGTCTATTGGAGAATATCAACCAACCACACATGTGGTCAGAGGTTCGATCCCTAGCCGGCGTACTCCTAAACCGCACTTAGCCGGTAGTAAAGCCAGTAGAGTGCGAAGGTTATGCGTGAGGTCACCAACCTCCCCACATGGGAAATAAACACCACTGCTGCTGAAACTTGAAAGCCCGACCTTGAAGATTGCTTCAGAAATGCAAAGAAACCAAATAATAATAAGATGCGTAGGAACTTTTATTAGCATTCCATAATGAAGAACTATTTCAAGAATTTAGGAGTACTCACTTTACAACTGACATGTTTGCGTTGATAGGAACTAAAGTAAGTAGTGACCTTCCGATGGAAATAAATTTTTGTTCCAATACAGTTGAACTGGAGCCCATAATTGAAAGTGTAAACTTTATTGGACTATATATAACCTGTTCAGACCAACTGATCTCAGCATTCACTATTGCTTGATATGTATCCATTGGTTCTGTTTGTAGTGGCTCTGATCTGTAAATATTTATTTGAGGGGAATTAACTGCCTAAATAACAAAAAAAGAGAATGCAAATATGAATGTTCCATCATCTATGTTATTCACAAACTTGTAAATTGTTAATTGAACGGCAGAAAAAGTAATGCAGTACCTATATGTATAGTTGTCATTGTAACTGTATTCGCAAATCATCCACTTAAGCCTAACAGAGAAATATTTAGATCAGAGGGGACTAGGAAACTGAATCACTGATGTCTGACAAAGGCTGGAACTGTGATTAGCAGATGCACTGGAGATTATACACGAATTTCTTCCCTAATGACAACTGACAACAGTGAACTTTGTGAATGTTTCGCTTTACAGATGCAACAGTTGTGTCAGCCACTACGCATATCAGTGTCTGCCCGTTGATAGGATCCATCACAAAATAGTATATCATCCTTTCTCGCGCATTCTGTGATTTATTGTGTGATCAGTCATTTCTCATGGCTGTGAGACAACTTTACTGTGGTAAACAAAATCTATAATTATGAGGTTTTGTTTCCTAATAAATATGTGCAGTATCTTGCAGTCACAGGCCAGCCCTTGTCTTTTGATATTTACGTGTCTTAGTGAATCGTAAGGTACAACAGACAAGAAGGCGTATTAGCGTACCGGTCGAGTTCATCACCGTTATAACAATTAGCATCGCAGATATAACAGGTGTTCATTTCTTCTCACATCAGACAGTGGAAAACGAGAAGACAGGGATATCCTGGACCAACATGAAAAATCTAGAAGATCTGAATTTCGCGGATGATTTATGTTTGATGTCATACAAAATTGAAGACTTACAAGCGAAAACCGGCAAAATGGTTGAAGAAGCAGAAAAGACAGGACTCCAGGTGAACATAGACAAGATGTAGGTTATGAAAATAACCAAATAACCACAACAACAGCAGCAGCAACATCCACCGCCAATCACCATCAACGGGAGGGTTACTTCATTCACTTATCTAGGGAGCATTGTCTCAACTACAGCAGGAACGGATGAGGATGTCAAATCGAGAATCGGAAAGGCGAGAAACACATTCATCAACCTGAAACCAATCTGGAAATCTTCGTCACTCAGCCTGCATCAACAACAAAATTCGGATTTTCAATACAAACGTCAAGTAAGTTTTGCTATACGGATCAGAAACTTGGCGGGTCACAAAGAATATTTCCAACAGCCTGTTGCAGACCTTTATCAACAACTGTCTTCGTTATATTTTGAAGACCAGTTGGCCGGAAAGAATCACCAACAAGAAGCTATGGGAACAAACAAAACAGGAACCAATCGCCCAACAAATATGCAGGAGAAAGTGGAGATGGATTGGACACTCGCTGAGGAGGCCGGTGGGTGACATCGCGCGTCAGGCCCTCGAGTGGAACATGAAAGGGAAGCGGCGAGTGGTTCGTCGGTGCAAGAGTGACATGGAGGAGATCGTGTGAAGAGGAGCTGAAACAGTATGGACTAACATGGATGCAAGTGAAAAGTACGGCAGAAGACAGAAGCAAGTGGAGACGTGCAGTTGAAGCCCTATGTTCCACTAGGAATCCAAGGGAACAACAATAATAGTAAAACTTCTTCTTTTTCTTCTGCGAATCAGCTGCAATTCTGTCCTTCCGCTGTTGTGATAGTATGGCCATCGCTTTGATTCGTTGTCTTTATTCTGGTGACTGAATAACCCGTTTATTAGTTGCTGCTGGCCACTTAACTAGATTACTGTTCCTTGTGGTGTGCTACAAACTAAATGAATATTCTCAATGACTGCTTACTGGTCGTCAGTAATCTTTTGTGTTTGAGCCAGACACTTTGCCTAATGAAGCAAAAAAACTGAAGGTTTTTGTTATTGTAGTTTTGACTGTATAAACATTTATAGTATAAAGCAGATCTCAATAAGTCTGGTTGTAGACTGTCATTTGGAATTAGGTCTTTTCGCCACTTTTCACTGTATAGTTATTGTCATCTGAATTTAAGAACGCATTCTGGAAAGCACCCAAGTAAATGCACTCGATTTTCCACCTATCTCATATTTTCATTAGCAGGCTAGCAAAGATTAGTTAAGCAGAAGTATTTCAAACTTTGCTTTATCAAGAAGAACTCCGGATTTATGTGTGTCCTCAGTATGCATTGGTAAATTTAACTATTCACGTGCACACAGTTACAAAGGTAGAACGATTCATCAAGCCCACCGTCACCTTCTTAGGCGTTTTCTAACGTAGTCAGTTAAAGCAGCCGTAGGCTTAACCAGGGTTTCCATACTGGTACACCTAGTAGTGGATTCGGAGCATTCGATTTTTTTCTGTTTCACTTTTGATTATAGCTTTATTCCACACTGCTTTTTGGGTACAAGTATGGAATTTTCAGCATGTGATATCGGTAGCCCGAATTTCGCAGACCAACCATTGATATCAGGTGTGCTTCGGCTGGGGATCGAAATCCAGATCATGTACGTGGTTGGCGAGATTCCTAACCACTGTGCTACGAACGAACCATAAAGGTAGGAACATGAGGCCTCTCCACTGACGCCCGAGCGCACCCAATCAGGGTCCGTCGTGAGTTTCTTCCCACTAAGGTGCAATGGTGAGCCTCTACCCGGGGTCAGAGCATTCTTTACCACCCTGAACCCAGCACCAGATGAGTTGTAAATTTAGCTTTTACAGTTTTATTCAAAGTGCCACCACAATTGCCCAAGCCTGTAGCACCTCAACTGCTAAGCATATCTGAGGCAGTTACAATGAAAATTTCTCAATACAGTGTCTGTGTTACGAAGAAGTTCACCCTATTCATCTTCTTCCTGTGACCTTCAACCTCACTCTAGAATAGTTATCTCTGCCAGTGACACTGGATAAATTTAAATACCACTTTTACTTCTATTTACACTGCTTACTTTATTATAAATATCATACCATGTTATAGTTGTATATTTTAATCTTTGTTTCCCAATTTATTATTATCCCGCTTACACTATTCACGATTAAAGTTGATTCTATTGATCCGTATTGTTTTAAATGACTGTGGCTGATGCCTTATTATGCATTTGTAAAGCCTGATAAGAATTTACCGGAAATCGTGTTGTAAAGTGTATCTACTTCATCAATTAACACAAGTCTACAATTTGTGAGTTGTCTATGAGCCGCATCTAAATTCTATGCTTGTGAGACAAATGCAGACGTGTGACGGCATAATCACCGGGCTTACTGATGTGGATCAGCCCTATTTTGTTTCTAGTTTCTGCTTCATCGAGTTAGTTGTCTTTTTCTACTTTTTTGGACCAATATTGCCATTTTAACGTGTCGTTGTTATTAGCCGACTTTTCATTTGTTGATCTTATACGCATGGTTTATCATTCAGAAATAAAAGTCTATAAATTCAATTTAAGTACTTTCTTTTTCTAGAGCTGACAGTACTTATTTCATTTTGAGATTATTGAATGATATAAGCAGGTGACTGGCATGCATATAAGCATGAATTAACTGGTAATTCTTTGTATTGCACGTAGTTTGACTGGCTACTTTACTATTTATTATTATCAGGCTGAACTGATAGAGTCTGACATGTCAGACACAACGCCAAATTCTTGAGCATTAAGGTGGTGTGCTTCAAGAGTAATGATAACAAGACATATCATCTATAGTGTAGATGGGCTTTTTTCATAATGACTGTCATACTTTCAAGCCTTTCAACCGATGCTTCAGCGTGCATAAAGTGTGCTATATGAAGCCATTAGGACTATTCCCACTCCAAACAACTGTGGAAATCTTGACTCACGTTAGGATCGAGAATACTTTGAATGATATACTCCAAAGTACATCTCTCACTGCCGTCAAGACTGATGCAAACGAAAATTGAAAATATTTCAAGCTATATAACAGGCTATTATATAACTAAGTCACCAACGTTTGGGCTTGATAAAATTCCTTTCAAAGAGTGTAAATTTGAGGCAACCTGCTACTTCATTATTCATATACATGGAAAATATTTTTCCAGCTCAGTTAAATTTTAAACAAGTAACATGAAATCTCTTGATAGTAAGTTACATGAAAACAAAACATGGAGTTCAGCGAAGAGGATCTTTACAGAGAGTTCACTTTCCTCTTTAGCTCTACAATTGCATTTATTAACTATTTCTTCTTACAGAAGACGGTAGTAAACAAAGTGACAAGTTGTCACAAACATAGCTGTTATTATTAGTCGATGCATAGAAGGATTTCAATAAGTGTATCAAAGTTACGTAATAAGATGAGTAGTTCAGTGAATGGGTTATAATCAGGATGCACGTAGAAACGGAGGAAAATATGGAATTATGCTAGAGTTCTGGAGAAATACAAGAGTTATAAGGATTTAGAAAAACAAGCAAACAAAAAGCAAGTCTTTTAAGGTTTTGGTTTGTAGGGATTTGATTAATTGCTTACAGGAATTCATCATGAGGTGACATCGGTTAGAGAACCATTGGAAAGCCATCTGTGAGTAACGGACGGCTGTTTCGTCCTAGTTTCAGGCTATTCATCAGTATGCGTCCACCACGGTTCGAACCCAGGGCCTTCTGGTTACAAGGCTAGCGAGCTCGTAGACCATTAAGCCACTGGGGGCCGATCCAATGGCCCATGAATTTCAACTTCTGACGATTCACGATATACCGCGACCGCTAGCCAATGTCTTCGGCGAGTATATGTCCTCACACCCGACCTGCTGCAACCTACTGGTCACGACGTCCCACCAGAAATCCAGGTAACTACCTACATGAATAGGGCCAGTAGCTAGTAAGCATCTCATTACAAATCAACCAGGTTCTTACCATGATAGTAGGAGTGGTTGAATAAATTTTTTCCGTATGCATAACTTCAGCTTTTCAAACCGAATGCCCTGGACTTCAGTAGTGTAAAAGAGACGAAATACTTTTGTCTTTGGCAGGTTGTTCTTAGCTTTGCAGATGACTCTGAAGCAGGGATTTATTGAGATGGAATGACCATTGTTGACAAGGTATTCGATTATCACACTTTTCATACAGCCGTAACTGTCCTACTGCAACCGTGCTGTAGGATAATGTTCTTGAACCCTATTAGACAGGATCCGTGTTCGACAACCAATAAACCTAACTCCACAGCGATAGGTGAACTGATATATGCACACAGATGTGGTCAGATGGGTGATCTTGCCCTAAAGGCTTTTTCAGACCAATCGTCGTTTGGTCTGCGGTTGTACAGCTAAAGAAATTGCATTCGCCGAAAAGAGTCTCTTCGCTTAAGTACGTCTTTTGTTTTCACTAATTTGTGGATGGGGATTATTCATGAGTTAAATATATCATTCTTAGAATGATAATTAAGGTTATAAAGACCTACCTCTACAAAACTACGATTACAAATCAAAACGAAATGCATACCAGTCGGTAAAACTACTTTAGCTTACCGTAATTGGTGGAATCGCTGTATTGATAATAGAAAATATAATAGAATCTTGTCTCCGAGATGATCCCATGATAAGAAATCTTGTATCAATTTGAGTATCAGTGACAGTTGGATAAGCTGGATCTGAACGTGCCTTCACTACAATTTTGAACACAATATAATAATCTTGGCTACTATTTGTTGGATTTTCTAATACTCCAATATGCGCCGTTGCAAGTGTTCGAAGTAATGTCAGCTTTTGCATTTCATACTCCACGTGTAATCTCATCTGTTGCATATACATATACGTGGGAGAATAAACGCATCAGATCATAAGAAAGATTAGCAAAATGGTTGCAGAAGAGAAAAACTTCCTTTACAACGACGTCATCAACTAGACTGCATATTTGTGAAACCATAACAAATAAGTAAGAAGGTTTCAGATTTATTTCCGATCAAAGGTCAAATTGTAACGATTGATCACATGAAAAATACGTAGTGAGAATAGGAATTAAGGACGTAATGGTAAAGAGAATGACCTGGAAGGTAGGTTAGAAAGCAGAGTCGGACAATAACTATTGAGGAAATTGACTATTTGTGATGACAATGGTAAAGACAAAACAGTAGGATCAAGACATCTGAGCGTAGCTGTAGCATCAACGATTAAGACAAAACTACATATCTAACAGAAGTACATACATCCTTTTTCTTCCCTCCACGGTCATCATAAACAATCCACTTTCTGAATAATTATCATTATCCAATTCTAGTTTGTATTCAATCTTCCTGTTTATTTTTTTCTATTATGGCGTTTTTGATCCCTATTTGTATTAAATAGTGCTTCTGTCTTGTAATTCGCTATAATTTGACTTTTTACAGGAAATAGTTCTGGAACCTTCTCATCCATTTATTATGTAATCAAGAAAGTAGAGCCTAGTTGATAAATTCAGTGAAAAGATTCTTGATCGAACTTGAAATAAATTAATCCCTACAAATTAACACTTAAAAATGAATCTCAACCTCTCTCGTAACTGGTGATAGGAAGAGGTTGATCGAAGTTCTAGTGTAAAGTCGAAGCCATTAGTGTCCACCTATTTTGATGCGGGAGCAAATAGTTTTCGTAGACTTTCTCTGGTAGCAGAGTTGACATCACGAATTGGTAGAGGTTGGAATCCAAAGACCGGCTACTGAATCGGGCCCCAGTGAGTGAATAGTATGTGAGCTAGAACCTGTTAACTGGAACGTCCTGAGTTCAAACGACATAGGGTGCGTACTACCGAAGAGTCACAAAGTGGGATGAAACAGCTGCCTTGTCTCCCTTGTTTTCAATGGTTCTCCAACTGATATTAATCTGTGATCAAACTTGAAACAAGTCAAATCTTTGCAGGTTAACTCTTAGGTATTCTATTTGATGTTGAACGAAAAACTGAATAAGGTTGCACAGTGTCATTTCTTTGGTTTAAGTTTATTAAATCAAAAAGTACAAACTACTTCTATTCGACGAAGTATGGCGGAAATCGAAGAAATTAATCGGTTGGAACCCAAATTGTGCATTCAGAAAGGAACGGTTATTAATATTTATGTATTACAGTGAGAACATTATATTTTTATTTCAACTGGGTTAATTCTTATGATTTTGAGAATATCATTTCATAAACCTTAGTTTATATTTTTTGTGCTACTTTTTCCTACAGATCTAACTATAATCCGATTGTTAGATTTTCGTCAAGAAGCAACATCAGTAATAGAGATCATTGAAAACCGTCTAGGAGCGCTGGAAATCTTTTGTAAATCTTGAAATTGAAACCGAGACCTTCACTTTACGAGAACAACCTTGCAGACCATTCAGCTACTTGGGATGGAATTCAGGTGAATTTTAAATTCCAACTTCGGTTTGTGACGAAAATCCAACAATTGGGATTCGTCAGAAACCCCCACAAACTGTTTGTTCTGAATACCAGTCGCCAGCCTACTACTGCGTGAATTTCCTGAAGCTGCAATAGGAAGTCATGATCATGGGATTCACTGTGTGAAAGTGGGGTGTATGGTAGACGGAGGCGGTGGTGAGGGGGATCTATATCATGACCTCACAACGTGAGAATCCACTTCTGGTTCCAACTTGAGTGCCTGAGTGGTGAATGAGTTAGGTGTCGTAACCTGAATTTCTCGAATCGTACCTTTGTTGGGGTTGTGGATGCACACTTCCGAAGAGTCCCGAAACGGGACGAGACAGATATCGAGTGTTCCTTGCTGGTTTTAGTCGTTCGTAATGAAAATCTAACTATCCAAAATAACCTGTATTCCTCACAAATTCTATAATCCAGTTATTATCCGACTTCTTTTATTTGGTTCCATTTTTTTAACTTTTCTATATTTATCAAGAAGCCAAGTGGCACTTGCATTTCTGTTTTTCCAAATCCCAGCGTATCCAGTTAGGCAACACTAATGATTATCAAATTCTAGCTATCCAAACAAAGTATGTTAAAGTTCTTTGATTGATATCGGAATTGATTTAGATTATATGCAGTTGATAAGATCTCGTGAAATTAAATGAAGTCAATATTTATTTGAGCAAATTTTGTATTTCTCGTTGGTTGATTCTGTCGGGCCAAAATGTTTGACCTGTGTTGATGTGTTGGGTCCTGTTGTAGGTGAGATGGCTCTTGCTGTCCTAATGACCTATTTGATAACGTTTAGGCATTTGAAACGATGGGCGCTGATATCCGATCCCAGTGGGAACGCCATCACCATTCACTGGGGATCGCAGAGGCATTCAGCTGGTGGATCTCAAATAGGACGAAATTCGCATCCTAGATTCCACTGCTAGTCACGATACATTGAAATGATTCTGGTTAACTATCAGAGTTATTGAGATGGAAAAAGCCTAAAAAATACTTACATAAATAGAATAAATGAACGTGGTAATTGCATTTTTTTTAGTTTAGGAACCTTACTGGCATCAGTCAGCTCCAGTGAAGGTACCTCTTGTCACCACTTTCTTTTATTTTTATTTTGATTACAGCTTGATTCCACACCGTATTTTCAGTACAAGTATGGAATTTTCAGCATAGATATCGGTAGCCCAAATTTACAGGCCGGCCATAGATATCGGGTGTGCGCCGGCAGGGGATCGAACCTCGGACCACGTGCATGGTCGGCGAGAGTCCTAACCACTGTGCTACCGACGATTTGTTGTCAGAGGTTAAAATTAGTTCTGTCTTAACAAAAGCAAATTTACTTTGATAAGATGATAAAAGTGATACGTGGAACGACTTTTGATCATAGTTGTTAATCCATGACATACGTTTTCAGTAATGATAATAATTTGCTATATTCCAAAAGAGTACTCATAACACGGCGTGAATTTTTAAGCATTTCGTAATATATTGCATCTCATTTACTTAGCAATAGCAAAAACAAAAAAGATTTATATTACAGCGTATACATAACCGAAATTGGTAATGGTAGCATTTTGGATATAGTAGTGATGATAAAGTCGAAAACGTACAGGAAGTAGAAGGACAGAATTAATAACTAAAATTATGAGACAGTTGAACTTTTGTCATCATAAATTACAAATAGAAGGAGATCAAAGGGCCATTTAACTTGCTAATTACTCAGTAAGTTATAAGTTTTAAGCTTAACACAATGTCTGCCACATAGACTGCAGGTGGGCCAAGCAGGGTACCATTGAGTTTGTGTACATAGTTGTACAAGAATATAAATCGTTTGTAATGACTTCTAGTCCTACCTACCAGATGAGATGCAAGTGGAGAAACAGATAATATTGATTTGGACCATCTGTCATATGAGTCCACTTGTCTGTCGACTCCAGTAGGGGCGAACGAGCTGATTAATTGGCACACTACTTGCCCTACCGATAACCTAGAATAAAAATTAGGAAATAATTCATACTCGAAATTAGAAATTAATTAGCCTGTTTGATACTCAGGTGGCGTTTTTGTGACTTCATCTTTCTAGGACTCATAAGTGAGGTTTCTTAGATCTGTTTCAGTGTCAGAGTGAGTTGTATGCCATTTTAATGCGTCAGGCTGTTAAAATGTCTATAACCTTTCAGAATTTCCTTACCTCATGCAACTAGCGTTGTTTCATGTGAGCTCATATAGCAGACTTGAGCCGAGATTGCAGCGTTTACGGATTGCTTTTATGCATTAAGGAAACGGGTTTATAGAATTATTGACCTATAACTTTGAATAGAGAATCATGTGTCGATAAAGAGTGCAGCCGACTGTGTGAACTATTAAGAAATGCATATTGTTTAAAACTTCGAAATCTTGAGTGTAACAATGCGAATGATTCCGCACTTGAAAACAGAAATTAATGAATACCCTTTCATTTTAGCAATCAACTATACTATCAAACATACTGAATTATTAGAAACTATGCATGAATCACATGATCACCTACTTTGCAAACATTTTATAAATAAATATTAAAAATGTCCTAGAAACTTACTCCTGGTATTCGTGTTGTGATTCCTGATCCAACTTCAGTAACGCTTGCATAACATATTTCACCCAAAATGGCTCGTGTTAAACTTACTTCAAACGCATACAACTGCTTAGATGAAGGTGGAATGTTTACAGTCACCTGGACTTCAGCAAACTTTTCAACTTCAACTGGGTTCGGGTCCATAGATAAATCCATCGACGGCTGCAATACCTACAGGAGTACAAGTAGCATATATGAAATAATGATAAAAACTGTAAATTCATATGCTAATGATTTTTAAAACCATAAGCCTTCCTTCAACTAAGTATTCATAGTGCTATAACTGACAATAAAATATTGACAGACAAATAACAGTGACATAATATTGAGACGTGCGTCGGTGGCATAGTGGTTAGGACGCTCGCCGACCATGCACATGGCCCGGGGACCGATCCCCGGCCGATGCACTCCTTTACCTCGCTAAGCCAGAAGTAATGCTGGTGAAGAGGAAAAGTTGGGCATGAGGCTAGCAACCCCATCCTGTAAAATAAACTCTGCTACAGAAACTTCAAGCCACTACCTTGAAGCCCTATGTTCCACTGGGGAACGTGAAGGAAAAATAAAAGAAAAAAAATAATATTGAAACAAAAACCAAATTATTCGACAAAACACAGGTTAACATTCAAATGACTACTTATGTGAATGTGAACGTGTTAAAAAACCATAATAACTGATCACTGAGTGAATTCTTATTATGGTCACATAATAAGTCGAACTACATAATTATTTAAATTCAAAGGGTACACATCTCATGAAATTTTTATTATATCATTATTCCCTTAGGGCACAGACTAGAGACGGAATTTCTTCGGCACATCTCTTTTCTCTGCAGTCCTTTTCAGATAGCTCCACGATTAACTATCGGCTCTTAACTCCTCCCCACACGATCCCCTCCATCTCGTCCTTGTACACTCGTCAAACTGGTCGTAACCCGTTCGGGTTCCATTCGACAAACTGCCTGGCGCACGATTTTATTCGACAGTCTCAGCGTGTGTCAGATATGTCTCCATTGTATGTGGAATATTTATTCAGTGACAGATTCTCTACTGGTTCGTCCTCAGGGTTACCTGGTGCCACTTCTTTCTGGCTATTTGGTTTTTGTATGGAACCAACAAAGCCAAGTACTGAAGAACAACTGCAGGGACCTGTTCTAAATGCTTCACTTGATATACCAAGTTTCTGACCAATTTAGAAGAACTGACTGAACATTGGCGTTAAGAATTTTTTCTATACGCGAAGTGAGGTAAATCTCCAAGCTGGTTTCAGAGGGACGATGGTCTCCGATGTCTTTCCAATCCTGGATATATTTCACATCCTCATGCATTTTGTCGCCTGTAGTTGAGACGATAGTGTCTAGATAGGTGAAGGGAGTGACTTTCAAATTTCTTTCGTTGACAGTTATTTTTTATTCGTATTATTGGCTGATTATCTGTATCGCCTCCATCTTCTCTATGTTACGGAGCGACCCAGTATAATATTTTTTTCTAACTCCTTATAATATTTGGAACTTGTAAAACTCTTACATTATTCCATATTTAAGTGTTGGTTTGTGGGGATTTGATTGGTTACAGGATTTAATCATGAGGTGACATTAGTTAGAGAACCATTGGAAAACCTGGGAGTACTGGACAGTTGTTTCGTCAGCCTAGTTTGGGACTCTTCAGCAGCACGCACCCATCGGGATTCGAACCCAGGACCTTCTCGTTACAAGGCGAGCTCGTATACTATTACGCCATGTTTTATGATAACACATCACCACTACCCTCTTACTTATCAATCTTCACCCTCCCTAGTTATAATATGATTATTCATAACACTTTTGAAATGTCTTGACAATAATAACCTTAACTTATATTCATTCTTATTGGACAAACCTAATGTACATATACTTATAAAAATGAGTATATATATAACTGCGATTGTAGAGCTGAAGAGAAAAATAAATTCGTATAAAAGGAACTCTTCGCTGAACTACTTGTTTTGGTTTCATTAACATCTTCATTTCCTTTTTAGCTTCCCATAAATTACATATACGCAACTGGTGTTTCCAAGATAGCTTCACTGAACCCGTCATAAACGAAATCTTTTAGTGCACATATGAATTAGTGAGTTATGTCTGTGTAGCTAACTGGACTTACGGCATATGTTGTGTCACTAGACTATGCAATCACGTTGAAATAAATACGTCCAGCTGTAATTCGCCCGCTATCTGTAAAGAAGAAGCCACTTTATATACCACTACAATTCATGGGAGGTACACCAAGCGAGTTAATTACGAAGAAATTAAGAAAATCAGTTCAAAGAACTTTTAATGCTTGCGAACTGCACGTATTATTCTCTACACGACCGATGGTGCTACCTCGACTGAAAGATGAATTTATTTTTTATTTTTATTTTGATTACAGCTTGATTCCACACCGTATTTTCAGTACAACTATGGAATTTTCAGCATGGATATCAGTAGCCCAAATTTACAGGCCGACCATAGATATCGGGTGTGCGCCGGCAGGGGATCGAACCTCGGACCACGTGCATGGTCGGCGAGAGTCCTAACCACTGTGCCACATAGTACCTAGACTAGCCACTTCAAATTGTGTTTATCAATTCAACTGCGCTTGTGGAGCGAGTTATGTTGGCCGTTGCTCTAGGAACTTGATTTTTCGTGCTTGAGAACATATCCCAATATGGCTAAGTAAAGGTGTAGTTAAAACTATTAACAGCTCGATATTAGACCATCTGGTGCAAACCAATCACAAAGCCAGAGTAGAAGAATCCTCCTCTATAATAAACCGGGTGCCTAACAAACTACCAAAATCGTCGAAGCACCACATGCTCCAAACAGCAGAGGCTATTGCAATTCGCCTCAAACAACCAGTGCTCTGTGTCCAAAAGAAATAAGTCCAGCCCCTACTACTGCCCTGGCCCTCAGTAGAGACTATAAACTCATGAATGTGTACTATTACCTTTCCTAATTCTTCTGACATTCAGTTTATTTTATGTTGATGCTGTTCAGCTGTAATTTATCAATATTATTGATTTGATGTTATTTAAACATTAATGTCGTGCATAAGACTAATTCGTTCATTCATTATAATGTATTTATAATTGTAGAACCTGATGATGAATTTATCGAAAAGAGTACTCTTTGTTCCGTGTCTGTTCTTTTGAAAATTTTAATGGGCATTTTTAATCAGTTAAAATGAGTTAGCATCACAGTATATATCATCAACTTAATTTTCGAATTGAATGCAGAATTGTACGCTGCGCTAAACAGTAAAGTTAAAGGCTGACGATATGAAGCATGTTTTTGAGTTACTCAACTGATGGTGTCTGTGCTTTGGTAACACTTTGAAATCAAGTTGCAGTCAGCAAGGCCAGAAGCGGAACTCTAACTGAAACCAGAAAGCAGGGTGTCTTGAACAGCTATGTAGTATTAGTTTGAAACTTTTCACTAGTTGAACTTGGAGAGAAATGATCACCTATGACATTGGCTATCGGTGAAGAGATCTATCTCAAATTTAAAGCAGTTAAATTCATCGACCAAAGGCTGAATAGTCAACTGGCTCGCGTGGTTACCTGGAATATTTGAATTCAGTCCCTAGCACTGGGGTTATGGATGAGCATCGCCGAATAGTCCTAATGCTTCCTTGTTTTCAGGGGTTATTTAACAGATTTCACTTCGTGATCTAACTAAAAATCATTCAGATCCATGGTAGCCAATGCTTGAGAATTTAGAAATTAATCAATTACTTCTTATCTCACTAGCTGTGATGAATGCAAACTTACAGTTTTGAAATTTCTATAATCAGCAATAATAGGCACTTGAACCTCTTGGAAAAGAACATTTGTTACAGAATGACGCATCCTAAATCCAAGTATAGCTCTTGTTGAAGCAAACGATGTGGTTTGGATGTAGGCTACAAGTCTGACCGAACGATCTGATTTTGGTAAAGATAATGCCATTGCATCTGAAATATGTGAATAGACAATAATTAATGATCAATAATTTAGAAATGTTATATACAAAATGTCTTTGAGTCTTATTCAGTAACCTCTCACACAGAAACACATTTGGTAAAGTTTGTAATAATATACCACATCTTCTAAAGACTTTCATGGAGATAATGACAGTCTAGTGATACAATGTGTTATCCCTAATTATTTAAGAAAAAAATTTACCACTCTCTGTTTTTGATATATTAAACATCTGTACTTTAATCCCTATTTTACTTTCATTCAGCATCAGTTTTCATTCCTTCAAGTTCTGAGTAGGACAAAGGGCTTCCAGTGGGACCTTAGAAGTGTCATTAGAGCATGTGGCGCTTTCAAAGGGTGGGGCTTTTAGCCTCAAATACTAACTTTAATCTTTTCCGAGATTATGACTGAGCCCGCTGGAAGTGGAACGCGGACCACGCGTGCATCTGGCAGTCATTAAGCTCCTAAACCACAGATGCTGTGCTAAGCTGTATTCATCGATCCAATGCAGATTTAGTCGCGAAATGACAACAATTAGAAAATTATTGAAAACCAAAGACGGCTGAATGGTTTTGCCGTCACAATTAGCAACGTTTTAGCACTACTGACTTCCTGACTGGTTTCAACATAAAACTTTGCACAGAAGTGCAGCAGTTCGAGTTGCCACACTCCATGTAGCACACAAAGGAAAATAAAAAAATATGGGAGATAGCAAAGAACGAATGTATGTGGTTCTCTGAAAATGATTGTGAGCTATAGCACCTATTGTTTCTGTCCACTGGCTCTGAGAATCCTGAAGACCGCCGCCAGTCAATCAACCTCCTCACATGGCTCAAACTAACTACCAAAGGTTTCATGGACTGATGGTAGGTTTTGATTTGACCATGCCTAACTTTTTTCCAGCCTAGTCCTATGTCAGCTAACTTTGATCGTCGCAAAAGTTGATGTCCTACTCATCTTAATCGATATAGTTTCACAAGCTCATCGATCAACTTCCCCTCCTCACATGATAGTGATGATAATAATTGTAATATTGATGACGATGCGCATGTCTACCATGCACAGAGTAATGACAACAGCAACAAATAAGGAATATGAACCACCAGTAGTACTTCCATACAAAGAAGGAACCTCGAAAACCTTACGGAGGATTCTTAACAAGGCAGGAATAGAAGTGGATGGCATTCAAATCCACAAACTTACTTAGTAACAAGCTTTTTCAGTTAGAGGAGACCCTCTGGAACCAATTAAACAAAACAATTTAGTCCATCAAATACCCTGTTTTAATGATTGTCAGGTCAAACACATAGATTAAACTGGTAGAATTGGGTCAATCATACTAGCGGAGCATAAAAACCTAGTAAAATCTAAATTAGTTGGTCCGAATAAGATAAGAAATTTGGAGAATAGTTCAGCTATAGCACTACATGCACCTAAATACTGCAATACAATATGATGGGATAAGATAACAGTTTTGAAATCTGATATATCAGGGTGGGGGGAGAGATTGAAAACTGAAGCTTTATTTATCGAATCAACTGCAAATACGTGAAACAGGAATGATTAAACAACTGTCCCGGACATCTGGAAAACTCTACTAACCCTATGATATATGGGAAGGAATAAGGAAAACTATAAAATGAACGTTTTGAAGTTGTGTGGTTATAACTGATACGATTACGAACAGTAATAAATTGTGTTCGAAACGTTATCCAGTAAATAATACTGTTTCACTGTGTGATACATCTAATAAACAAATTAATGTGGAATTACATACTACCACAGTGTCGAAGTTTTATACATATACTAAATCTACGTCTAACTTCAATATTCTTAATCTTACTGTATACCACCTAACATGGGCGATGGATTACAGACGATTAACATTGAGCACTTTTGACTACACCAGAGCTTAACACAGATTTACTGTATAGAGCTGTGCACATTTGTTGATAAGCTAATGAGTCAGAATTCAAAGAATTCCAACTTTACTAAGTTTGCATTGTAGCACCTCAGTCAGTCTACTTCATCAGTGATCATCGGAGTATGACGAATCTCATCGATGACGACACTTTCTGCTAACACTTCACAATATCCTGTCATTAATGAATAGGAGACCGGTACTCAGACCTTGGATTCTTAAAGATGTGATTAATTTCAATGTAGATCTCTGCACAAGCTGACATCGACCATAGTGAATATCATAGAGCGCTGGACAGTAATTCCCCAAGTAATGTTGGTCAGTGACAAGAAATGTACTGAAACTATTCAAATAACTTCATTGACTAGATGAGAACTGGAAGCTGTAAAAGGTATTATTCCCTTAGATCTTGAGTTAAACAAATGGCTTTGACGGCACATCCCCATTTGTTCTCTCCTCTGAAGTTCTCTCCAGCTGGCTTAACGCTCTCACCTCCACCTCACATGATCACCACCATGTCACTCTTGTGCATGCGTCCAGCTCGTTGTGTTTCAGAATTTAGCGGAACCATCTCCATTTTCTTCCGGATTTTTGACGAGAGCAATTTTCCTGACTGGTTTCTTTATAGACTTAATAAAAGTCTGCAGCATGCTGTTGAAAATGCTCTTCATGACAAACAGTGCAACCTTCTGAGGAAATATAGGAGAACTGTCTTAACACTCGTTTTGAAAATGCCGGACCTTGTTCCAATTGTTGAGTTCAGAAGATTTCCACACTGATTTTAGAGTGTTGAAGCTCTCTCTTGCCCTTCTAATTCTGGTTTTGACATAGTGGTTCGTTCTACCGCCTGTAGTCGAAATTATGGTGCCTAGACAAGTGGGGGAAATGATGTCTTCCAAATTTGTTCCAATGACATTGATTGGCGCTTGTTGTTGTCACTGTTGTTGATTAGTTGTCTTAATCACCTCCGGCTACTCTGTCTTCATCTGAAGTTCTGTCTTCGCTGCCAGCCTTTTCTGCCAACTTGTTTTTTGGCGCCGGTAAGTCTTCAGACTTATGTGACATCAGATATGCATGAGTCAACAGCAAAGTCCAGATCCTGTAGAGTCTTCTAACGGTGCAATGTATTCTTGTCACTCGCCACAGTCAGCAGCATAACCTGTACAAAGCTAAATTATACAAACCAAACTGACACTGATCTACTGGTTTCACCTACATACTTTTACTCTCAAAGTTATTGCAGTCTGTTTGTCAGATTGGACTTCTTTCTCCAACTGGCTATGTGGAATCATTTAACGAGTGGAGTTTGTCAATGAGTGAGTTTTGATGTTTTTATGTCACCCTTATTTTTATTATATTAGGAATTTTGTGAAAGAGTTTCCTGTGGGGTGGAATTGTTAGCCTCACACTTAACGTTCACTTCCTACCAGGTTCGCTATCTGCTAAGCGACGATTCAGGAGTGCGTCAGCCGACGACTGAACCACTAACCACGTTAAGAGTGGTTGGCGAGCAATCTGTCATTAAATCATCTTCCTGTAAATGGTTCTGAATTGTGTGTTTTCAGCCTGTGAATAGTGATATATATATATCATGAACACTAACGTGAAATATGAAAGAAGAGGTTTAAAGTCACACTGCTTGGTGTATGCCCACAGCATCACAGTGATTACATTGCAATATCAACAATCAAGTGTAAATATCAGTTGCTAATTATGAAATAAGAAGTGTGTTTTACATTTACTTCTAATTTATGTATAACAGTGCTCTCTGATTGTTTCACTCACATATACTTTTCAGTCCAATGACATCGATATCGATCTGCTTCGCCAGAACACATTTCTTCAATACTCCATCTTTATACTGCCTTGTTCCAGGTCCTTGTGTGTAGCTCATTCCGTTTTTTAGAGTAATGTTAAAGTTGCTAATGGTAGCTGATTGACCGATTGTGTATACGGAAAACTAATATCAAAAGCAAAAGAAATTATCATGTTCTTTGTGGTCATTATGTTTTAATTCAAGTACAGGTGTGAAAAAAATATATCAACAGGTGGATGCATTTTCATAAACTCACTTCCCGCTGATTAGTTTGAATGAAGTGAGAAGGAACATATTCGCTTTTTGTTGCTGAGATAACTCAGTGTGTGGTTTGAAGATAAGATACAGATGGGTTGGAACTAGTCTAGTCGATCTAATGAGTTCAAGAAACCGGTGTGGAAAACAGCCTGCTTCCAAACACTCCTCAGAGACAGTAATTGAGGTTGATTGTCCCAATATCCAACAACGAATTATCTTTCCTTCTAACAGGGAGTTGATTAATTTCACTGGCAAATTAATTAGCAGCTTGATACGGACACACTTCGAGGAGATTATTTCACTACAACTTCCTTCGGAGATCTAATTATTCAGACCTGCTTCATGCACTAAGTGGTATTCAAGGAGATAATCATAAATGTGTGAACTAAATACTACTGATTGGTTGAGGTGAGTAGCTGTATGCCACTGATAGTAACCCCTATGGCTTGATGCCTGATAGAGGTGATCTAAACACCGGACGGCTGTTTCACTCTTTTAGGTATGAGCTCATCAACGATGCACCTAGCCTAACTCATCTCAAATAGCCAAATTAACACAAACCACCTGATTTCTGGCCAGCTGCTTATACGAACTGTAGACACAATAGAAGGAATACTCAATCTGCAAATTAATCTGCTCTTTAAACGGTTCGAGGGGGTGAAATTTCATCACATTTTCCTGTTTCGGGAACCAAAATTATCACAATATGTGATCTATCAGAAATCGTGTATTTTGAACTGATAGGTACTGGTCTGAAGTGATTCAAATCTGGTACATCTCTGATGAGCTTGGTCTGAAACCACCAAGATGTCAGTCTAACATTTAGATCACCACTATCTGGTTAGCAAGTTCTACTGTTTAATATGGGTGGTATACAACTACTTATCCCAGTAAATCAGTAGTTAATGGTTTTATGCAGATGTATCTTCATTAACCTAGTCGCACTAATTAGTTTAAACTTAATTTGGGTGAACTTATTTTTCAGGTATTTGTTAGTCCTCTCTTTGTCCGGTGAATTTCTCTAGGAAATACATAAATCCACAAAGTAATCAATATTTTATTTATTTAAGGGAAATTCAACTGTAGGCATTCAATTTAAATCTGCACAATTAAATGTTGAAGTTAAGGAGTCTGAACTACTAAGACTTTGAGAACATAGAAGACCTATTGTCGGTCAGGATTATTATTCACTTCTGTTCTGAGTGAAACATAGGGATTCAACAGCATATTTTAACTTCGTCCTGTTCTAATAATACCTCTTCAGCTGGCTCCAAGATTACCCGTAAGCTGTCATCTCCTCCTTAAGTAAATCTCCCCCACTTGACCATCTAAGTGACGCTCAACTGGTTGTTTTTCACTCAGATTCCACTCGAAGCCGTATAGATAGATGGCATTCACTGTTAACCTCAGAGTCTTTCCGATCCTCCTCTATTTGATTCTCAATATTTGTTGGGCGATAGTCGTGCTGAAGTTTCTGTGGCAGCTTTGTTTACAGGGTGGGGTTGCTTGCCTCACGCTTGAGAAGGGGAGAGAGAAAAGGTTAGTGTGGCATGACCGCAGAGCCCAGGGGACAACTGCTAGAGGCCGGTCACACACGGCCTGTTTTTGGTTGTTCTTTTCTTATTTGGTGTGTCTCAGTAGCATATTTATCACTTCTGCCCTGTGACACAGCAGCAGGAAGCGTGGTCGTTGTTAATCCGGGTCCCGACCGATCCGGCATGGTATTTTGTGAGTTTGTTTGAGTCATAGTATTGGATTGGGTAGCTGCTTTTTGTCTAACCGCTATCCAGACAACCTTTCTGGCATGGTAGGACTTACAGGAACATAAGTTCCAGCCAGTGTATCTCGTTGGGTCATTGCAATATGCAAGCCTGACCGTCACGTCAAGGTAGCAGCTATCGGTCGGGCTCTTGATTTGTTAGTTTCAAGAGTTCTCTGAAGCTAATTCTTTCTGATCATCTATTCTTCAACATGGGGCTGGCAGGGGTAGCTGTTGATCAAAGTCTGTAGCTTACTGAAAATAATTTTCGTGACACTCGCACCAAAGTCCTGACTCATATAGACGAAATGATTTAACGCCGATGTTGAAAATCCAAATTTCTGTACTTTGTGCTGAGTGCAGAAGAGTTTTGAGGGTCTACCTTGCCTTCCAGAGTCTGATCCTGACATTCTCACCCGTTCTGTTGCCTTTTTGGTTGAAATGGTTCTGCATAGATAAGTGAAGAAAGTCACCTTCTTCCACATTTCTACCGGTGATAGTGATTGGCGCTTGTTGTTGCTCAACATGGTACACTGTAATTCTTCTAAATCATAATACCTGATTTCGCTTCAGTTGTAAGAACTTAGGGCTTTTGATAATCCCTTCCTATGAAATAATAATGACATTGGTAAAATGAGAAGAAACTGTATTTATTAATATACAAACTAAAATTTGAAAACTTAAATTGTTCAAGTTTTTGGTGGCATATATTTCAGTGCCGTCTACTTCAAATAAACATGTCTATGTCAGACACCAACTGTTAACTCGTGTGCATTGAAAAATTATGGACAAATGTTATTAGATGGCCTAAAGCAATCAACAGGAAGTTCTGCGTGACCTAGTTTTCGTACTTTTCGGCACCTAACAGTCAGCAAGACATCTTTGTAATAGTGAAAGAACTCATACTCCCTTCCCTGAGGTTTGAACGCATTTCATCCAGCTGTGCATTCAGATACGCCGCCACTAAGCTCTTCGAGTAAGTGACTGACCTCCTGAAGGACTGTATTGGATACATTGATTGGACCCTAGGTAGTAGTAATCAATGTTTTCTTTTCCTTCACGTTCCTCAGTGGAACATAGGGTTTCAAGCTAGTGGGGTTGCTAACCTCATGCCCAACCTTTCCTCTTCACCAGCATTATTTCTGGCTTAGCGAGGTAAAGGGGTGCGTTGGCTGGGGATCGAACCCCAGACCATGTACATGGTTGGCGATGTGCCACCGACGCACTGTCATTCCATTTAGCTGTTCCTTTGTTTGTTGCGACACCGAGTAACACATATTGCGAATCTCAGAAGGGATATGAGGTCTTTCAAGATTGCAGAAATGTCTCGCTGACTGATGAGTACCAACAAGCAAAAAAAACTAATTTGAAGGCTTCCTGCTGAATACGCCCCCCACCCCTTAACTATCTAATAACAACAATTTAGACTGCGGGCTACCCAGCATGGCGGCCACATTGTAAAACTTGAGTAACAGTGAATTCAGCTTGCACCATCAAATAACTAGTCATATGACACTGTAACGAAGGCAAGAGTGGGGAGACTGAAACGTATGGTACATAACTAAATTTGGAATACCATATTCTAAACCGGCTATTTGCACATCTTTACCACATCCTTGACGAATTGGTCGAATATCGTCTCATTCAATAGCTTCTTAGATTCTGCATCATATGGCAACATTTTTCTCATGGTTCTCTTCTTTGAATGCTCTTTTCAGTGTGCCAAACATGTTGTTACTTCGTTCCTGATATACTACTTATATCGGATTATAAGTAGCACTCACCACAACACTAGTTACTTGTAAGTGTCTCATCAAACTATGCACAAATATGTAGAAACGGAAAGCTTCTCATACAACATTTGCGAATGTCCACTTGTTCAAAAGGAGAATGACTGGAATTTCACAGACTGATGAAACTACGATTAATATACGTCCTACTGTAGAAAAGGTAACCAGACCGAAAGATATTGTGAATTTTTCAATAACACGAATGATTATCATATGTCGGATGAACCGCATAAGGTCACACATACCCATGTAATCTCAAACTTCTGTTTCTTAATATAATTCGATAAAAATTAAGGTTAAATTAGCTTACTTTTACCAGATAATAATACCCTCATCGACGATTGCTTGTCATAATGTTTAAGTTCACGTAAATGTCAACATGTAACATTCTTATGTTAATAAATTTACTAATAACCAATTAAAAGTCAATTGTTGTTGTTCATCAGAACCCGCATAAGGGACAATTTTCTAATATAATTACTTCGGCAACTCATTTAACTGACCCATTCAAAGTTCAGTCAACCATAAATTACTTTTACTGACAATACAAATTTCTAGTATATCATTTGGTGCCTTGGAAATATTCCTAAATTAAAGAGTCAGTGCTACTATACGAATCAGAGACTTGGCGCGTCATAAAGAGCATCTCAAACAAACTACAGACCTTCATTAACAGTTGTCTTCGCTCAATAGTCAAGATCAGATGGCCAGAAAAGATCAGCAACAGGGATCTCTGGGAGCAAACTATCCAGGATCCGATTGTGCGACAAATATGCAGGAAAAAATGGAGATGGATAGGCCATATTCTGAGGAAACCATCAAGTGGCATCACTAGACAGGCCTTCATGAGGAACTCGAACGGGAAGTGGCGAGTTGGTCGTTCAAGGGTTACTTGGAAGAGGTCATGTGAAAAGGAGATGAAAGCATGTAGGCAGACTTGGAGCCAGGTGAAAACTCTAGCAGAGAACCGAACGCAATGGAGACGCACGGCTGAAGCCCTATGTTCCTCTAGGAATTAAAGGAAACAATAATAATAATAAATTTAAACCATAGAGTCGAGTATGATTTCATTTGAGAAAGTAATTTAGAGGAAATTTATAAATTTCATGCATCAACAGCTGTCTTTGTTCGGCGAACAGATGTCTGGCGAACAGATGACCGGGCGGAGAAAACTGCCTACAAGAAAATTCTGGGAAGGAAGTGATCAAAAACCTATTGGTAAACAAATATTTAGAATAAGATTGAGATAGATCAGATACACACTGAGGAAAATATCGAATGATATCACGTGCAGCGCAGGCCTTCCAAAGGAACCCAGATGGGAGACCGTTGACTGGGTAAGCGTGTGAGGGTGACATAAGGTAGTCGTGTGAGGAGAGGATGAAAGCCTATGGGAATCAGCTAAAGAGGATTTCAGAGGATAGGACAAAATGGAGATGAGCTGTTGAATCCCTATGTTACAGTCGGAATCCAAAGGAATAACAATAATAGTAATAATATACAACTTCCACTTGTTGTCCATCTAATTAATACTGGAACTCGTCATCAATGGGGTCCATAAATCTGAATGTTAGGCCAAATTCATTTAGATAACACTGGACAATTACCAGAATTTAAAATTCAAGGGCCAGCCATTGGATTCTATCTCAGTAGCCGAATGGTTCAGTCTGGGGTTCGATCTCTGGAGGTAGGGTCGTTAGAGAATATCTCTGAAGAACTTGAAACTAAATAGAAACAGATGTAGAGTACTCCACGGTTTACAGTGGTTTTCAAACTGATTTCAATTCTCGATATAACCTGAAATCAATGAAATGTCTATAAACCAACACTTAAAATCGGAATAATGAATAATACAAATAGTATTTACCATATAATTTCCCATCTCAGATACCAGAAGTACTTCAGCTTCAAAAAGTACTATATCTCCAGGAACAATATAAGCAATATTTGATAAAATTGTTAGATCTGGTGAAGAAACAGGACATACACTACCGACTGTATTAGTGGTAACATTAGTCTGTGTTAAATTATCCCTATAAACATCACATTGCGTATTAACCGATTTTCCTTGTATTGTTGAACTCTGAGGCCATAAACCAACAATGAATTGTATTGCCAGTGTATAATCCTCTGTATAATTTGGTATATCATCCACAATGAGGTCTGATAGGCTAACAGTTGTAGTGACAGTCTGAAATAGAAATAAAAATATGAATACGTTAGTCGAGTATGATCACACTGAGATGTATGGGTCATTAGATTTCTTAGCTGTCATCAGTAAACTTCTGGTTTGGATAAGTACTTTGAATATTTTATCATGAATGAAGCAGTATTAAACTGTCCTTCACAGTGTATGCGAACTACATGTCTAATAAATTAGTTATCTTTAAAACTTTAGCGAAGGGAAAACTCACATAACGCTACTTTCTGAACTATACAGTCGAATTTTTAGTTCATTGTCCATTTTCCTGTTTGACTGATTACACAGAAATGTTCGTTCTGTGTTGACTTGTCAACTCACAGTACGGGCATTCCGACAATGTCAGTGGATTAACTGGGATCCAGGATGCGCATATCGTCCTACTTGGGACTCGTCATCTGAATATGCTTGCATCCTTTAGTGTATATGAAATTACTTCAAGTTACTCGTCAGACGTCCTCAAAGCGCCCATAATATGAGCAAACATGTCAACAGAAGCCAGTCGATCAACTGGAAAACAAAGATTCACTTGAAAACAAGTAGTAATAACTGATACCCGTTGTATACATGATGGCTCTCGTGGGCCAGGTGGTCTAGTGGACAACACTTAGGCGTTTGAGAAAACCATGACTCAATAGGGAATGCTGATTAGTGCAAAATAAGACGGAATGTACATTCTGGACCACAATGCTAGTCGTCAGGTACGTGTAGCTGAATTACTTGCTGGGTTTTTATAGTTCATAAACCTTATACGAAACAATTTCTTTTTAAAATTCTCAGATTACAAACAAATTCCAACATTGTTCTTTGCTCAAAAGGAAACCCGGTTCGCTTCTTTGTTCTTTAAATATACCTGAAAGTTTAAGTGCTTGCATAATTGGTTAACCTAATTATTTTATTTATCTGCACCCTTAACGGCAAAAATTGTCGGAGTTTACCTCCTTCATTTATCAAGGAACCACGGTTTCTACCACAGGCAGTCAGGACGGATGAAGATGTGAAAGTCAGAACCGGAAAGGCAGTAAACGCCTTCATCAACCTAAAACCGGTTCAGAAATCTTCCGCACATAAGGAACAAGATTCGGATTTTCAACACCAATGTCAAGTCCGTCCTTCAATATAGGTCAGAAACTTGGCATGACACGAAACGTTTTTCGCAACAGGTTACAGACTTTTATTAACAGCTGTCTTCGCTGGACAGCCGGAAAGAATTAGCAACAAGAAACTCTGACTGGCGAAAAATCAGCCAAGAGCTGATCGCTCAACAAATATGTAGGAGAAAGTAGAAATGGATCGGGTCTATGTTGAGAAGGCCATCGAATGACATCGTGTGCAGTGCAGACCATCACTCGAGTGGAATCCTGGTGGGTGCGTCGTCCGTGAAACCCAGGGTAACATGGAGGAGGTGAAAGATTATGATCCATTCTTGATCTACTTGAAGAGGATAGCAGAAAACAGAACAAATGGGAGATGTGTTGTAGAAGCCCTATGTTCCACTAGGAACCCAAGTGAGGAATAATTACAATAAATCATTACCTTAACGTTTGCATGTCACCTGCTGAATTAATGCTTATTATTTGTCTTTGTTCCTCTTTATTATCTAATTATATTTCTTTTTTTGTGGTTGTGTGATGATACTGGTAATGTGTTATTTTATGATGCAACTTTGACTGAATCAAGGTCATTGTGACCTTGGGCTGTCTGAGTCAAATGTCTAGTGTGTGATTGATGCTGACAGAGTTTTGATAACACCTTCATATGTTTGTTTAAGGCGTTCTAATTCTGTTGTATACTGCCTGTACTTGAGAACTAATAATAACAGTTCACAGCAGTAGTAGAAGAGATTCCATACACGTAGGTCATGTGCATAGGATTCTTATTACGTTTGTATGACAGAATGAGAAATCAAGTTGCATACAATAAAAATCTTAGGAAGAAACATACAGAAACTAGCAGTGTGTTGATAGTTATTTTATAAAATATTTCATATAAAATCCTATTGTAATAATAATAACAATAATACAAAAGATTTACTTTACGATCAGAAGTACTATTTCCTGTAACATTCATCACATTGACGGTGAAATTTCTGTTAAGAATTCGTGCGCCAATGTCAGAGATGCCAATGAATTCTGTAAAACCGTAGAATGCAGAATTGTAGGTAGGAGCAGACATTTTCACAGCTATCGAAGTAGTACCAGAAGGTAAACCAAGCTGAACAGTCAGTATAATGAATTCACCGATACACCAGGCAGTGGTTTTTGAATAACTGGTTGTTATTCGTAGGTCATTTCCGACAGGATTGGTACTCTAATTGAGAAAGGATAATATAAATGGAGGAGTAAGACAAATTTAAAGTATGACAATGAAAAAGAATTAAGTCCACAAATTACAGCGTGATGGTAACATCACAAACATCTCTCATTTTGCAACTAAGATTGACTGTGCATAATTCAAAATACACTGTAGTTTAGCATACAAGTAATATAACTTGAAATTCGTTCTGCACTTCAAAAACGATACTGGCGCCTTCATTGCAATGATCTTAGATAAAACTGATCCCATTTAGGTGCAACGAGAGACATGCATTTGATTTTTCAGTATACAAAATTGAATGTGGCACCTAATTCATATTATTGTATTTAGAGGAAAATCAGAATGATGATCAGATCAGATTGACAATTTGATATCCGAGACTAATGTGAGGTATAAACGCATGTTATCCATGGATGTATCATCCCTATTCACTAATGTACCGCTTATGGAAACAGTAGACTATATTTGTCAAGAAATCGCCGAAAGGCAATTAGACTTAGGAATCCCCTTGTGTAGCCTCAAAGAATTACTTCTTAAATGCACAATGAATGTTCACTTCGTCTTTAATAATTCCTACTATCGACAAGTAGATGGAATAGCTATGGATTCACCATTAGGCCCAATGTTAGCTGACTTCTTTCTCGCAAAACTTGAAAACGGGAAATTGAAGGACATCATCAAGCAGTTTGATATGTATTATCGATATGTCGATGATACATTTATCTTAGCTGACGAGAATGTTAATATAGACGAATTGTTGCTGAAATTCAACAACACCCACCCTTCGCTTACCTTTACTTGTGAAGAGGAGCAGGACAATAAGCTACATTTCCTGGATGTCTTGCTAAATAAGAGAGAAGATGGGTCACTTGGGAGAAGCGTGTATAGAAAAAGCACTTTCACAGGGCAATACACACACTTCCTTAGTTACGTGCCCATTAAATATAAAAGGAACGTTGTAAAATGTCTTGCGAGTAGAGCAAGAAAGATATGTACGGATGACCTTTTACAAAAGGAATTTGAATATATTCATGATTCCTTGATGGAGATGGGCTATCCGAGTAGCTTCATAAAGAAACATATGAAAACATCGGAGAAAAAACCGGAGACTCTGACTGCACGTAAGAAACCTCTATATATTAAGTTACAATTTAATGGTGACTTATCAAGTGAGATTCTATTCCAACGACTTTCAAGGAGTATACGAAGAACATTTTACGCAGCACACCTATGTTTGTCATTCTCTAGCCGACGAATGATTGCGACGCAAACGAAGGATAAGCTTGATAGTTTTGCCACATCTATGTGTATTTATCAATTCAACTGCACCTGCGGTGACAGTTACTACTAGACAGCTTAGCCAACGTGTTAGTGAACAGATCCCATCGTGGTTTGGCAAAGGACAGACAAAAACAATCCGTAGCTCAATTTTGTCACATTTAATTGATAGTGGTCATGTAGTGGAGAAAACGAGAGCTTTCAAAGTGATTCATCGTATCCCACCGAATCTTTCCAATAGACTTCGTATTCGTCTACTACACACAGCTGAGGCAATAGGCATTCGAACTATTAAACCCAAATTATGTATTCAAAAAAAGTTCGTACAGCCTTTATCCCTTCCTTGGCCTATTAAGACGTAACCAACTAATAACTTCCACACCACCCTTTGTTTGTATTTTCATCCCCTTTCTTATCATCTCCTAATCTTATCTTCATTATAAACGTGTTTCATTTCCTTCCCTTACAATCTAACATTACTTAATCGGTTCATTTGTTTTTACTAACCTTTATCGACTACTTCCACCTGAACAGTTGTTTGTTTAATCATGCTGTTTTTCATTATTCGTGTTATCACAGATTGCCTCACTTTTTCATCCTTATTATTGATAAGACCATTTCTATTATTACTATAATTATTATTATCATTACTACTATTATGACTAATTGCACAATTTATATTCACCATCGTATTATCCTATAGACAAAACACCATGATTGGTTTATATTTGAATTTTATTTGTAAACTTATATATATTAGAGTTAAGCCTGATGAGATCTAATTGAAAACAATATTGTTCCCTTAAATGTGTTGTTCTAAATTTGATATGTACACAGTTAAAGGAATGAAAATTTTACCACATTTTTATTGGAAACCAAATTATTCAGATAACAGTATATGATCCGCTTGATGACAAGAATGGCAACCAAAAACGAATGCATTTTTGCACGGAGCTAACTATATACTACTGATTGATTGCTCTCAGTAGTAAAATGTGTAAAATGCAAATTAATGTGCAGATTGCGAATTTTATGTGTTGTATCACCATTTCGCAATAAGTAGCCGATCAGAAATCTGATTGTTTGAGCTCATTTAAGCCTAGTATGCAGCCGACAAGCTCGGCTCAAGACGGCTGTCCAGTGTTTAGGTCACTTTGATCTGACTTGGTGGCAAGTCCTACTGCTTGTTGTTACTGGTATACAAGTACTCATCTCAGTCAATCAGCAGTATAAAGTTTCATGCAAATATGCTATCATATCGTCTCTTTGTTGTCGCTGTTCATCGTTTTTTGTTGGTATGTTTCCTAATCCCAACTAATAGCATTTTTGATACTTCATTAAGTAACACCACAAGGTTTTTATGATTAATATATGCCAGTTTTCAAAGTTATTGCATTGGCCTAGTTACTAGTAGTCCGTGTTGCTTTCCAGATTATTTGTCAACTGGTAACTTCCAGATGAAGTGGGCTTCCTGTGATCGATTAATATAACTTAACGTGATTTATTGTTTGTGACAGTTATTACCCTTTTGTCCACTTATATTATTATTGCTCATATGTTGGCCTGACACCAAACTTTTTGTTTGAATGATCGGTCCTTTATTCTCTGATGAATACCGTCTGCATGACAATGTTTAATTGCAGACTAATATAGGTACCGGGCTTTTAAAAATTCATTGAAATTATCTCTGTTTTATTTGTTTGTGCTTCAGCAGTCTTACCGGTCTAATTAGGATACATCATTGTACACATACACTTATTATTATTCCCCTAGGTTCCCAAGGGGAACATAGGGCTCCAGCAGCAAATCTTTACTTTTCCTCGTTCTGTACTATACTCGCTGAGTGATCCAACGATAACGTATCAACTCTTATCTTCTCCACACATGATCTCCTCCATGTCGCTCTCGAACAAACACCGATCACGTCGTTTCCAATTCCAGCTGCACTCGAGGGTATGTCTGGCAGACAACGTCACTCAGCGGTCTTCTCAGTATTTGTCTTATCCAACTCTTTTTTCTTCAGCATGTTTCTTTTGCACGCGTAAACTTACAAGGATGGAATATTGTCATGGTACTCGATCACCGACCTATGCTTAGGAATGTGAAAGTAAAACCGACGTCTACTTTGACCAGGATAATGTTTTTCACAGTTTGTGCGACTGATGTAATAAGTGATTCGATTCTAATGCTATATATTAATTGGAGATTCAGGGTCTTTGTTAGTTCCTACTGAAGGACTGTAAGAAGTTATTTATATTCTAGCTTCTTGAGGATGGGAGTCATGCAGTGTATTCTGACTTTTCTGGTTACTGTCGTGAGTATTTTGGTTTATATGTAAAGATTTTTAATAGGCTGCGTGTCTATAATAATCTTCATCTTACTTAGACAGTGTCTTGACAGAGATACTCATTTATTCAGTTGTTCGTTTGTAGGGATTTGATTGGTTACAGGATTTCATCATTAGCACTCGGTGGTTGCGCACTAATGAAGAGTCCCAAACTAGGACGATACAGCTGTCCAGTACTCCCAGGTTTTCCAATGGTTCGCTAACCAGTGTCAGCGCATGATAAAATCCTATACTCATTTATATTAATCAATGTAAAACGGTTCATTTTTCAAGTCCTTCTCCATTTAAAGTACACATAATTGTGACATCAAACTAATTGTATTGTTGTCTGATTGAACGTCTTTCATTTTCTTCAGAAATTGAATTGTAGATACTCAAAAAATTATCTCAGGATTGTGTTAGATATTCTAATTTATTATAGAGTCCACTGTTTGACATTTTACATATGATTCGAAGGATTGCTAACTCTCTTAAATTTAAGGTTTTCTAGTCAGTTTGTTTCAGGAAATGAACTCCTTGTCTATTGATTTTAATCCATCAACTTACTGTAGTTACGAATCATTTTGGCTTACTGTACATGTGGGTTTAAAATTGCTTAAACATTCAGTCGAGAATGAAGACAGTTTTGTTGAATTATTCACCTGACTACAGCTAATTCGGTCAAATATTTTCACATTGGTAAATTAAATATCCAAGTCATGTGTGTATGTGTTATTCCTTTTGGTTCTGAGTGGAAAACAGGGCTTCAACAGCACATCTCCGTTTTGTCCTGTTCTCTGCCGTCCTCTAAATTTCCCTCCACGTTTACCCATAGGATGCCTTTTCCTCTCCACACGATCTCCTCCATGTCAACTTCAGATGCCCAGCTCGTTGTTTCCCATTCGGGTTCCATTTAAGGGCTCGCCTGGTGAGCGACGTCCCTCAGCTCTGTTCTCAGTGTGCGACCCACCCATTTCCATTTTCTTGACACATTTTTTGAGCAATAGGTTTTGGATTGGTTTGTTCACAGAGTTTTCAGTTGACAATCCTTTCTGGCTGATTGACAGAAGTGTTGAAGATTCAAATTTTGTTATTTTTGCTGAGTGCAGCAGATATAAAAACTGATTTCAGAGTGGGGAAGCTCTCCCTTGCCCTTCTGATTCTGTTTTTGACATGCACATTCGTGCTATGATCTGTAATCGAAACGACAGAGCCTAGATAAGTGGAAGGAGTGACCTCTCTGAAATTTCTCGGATTGATAATGATTGGTGCTTGTTGTTTATGTTGTTACTGATTGGTTATTTTCATCACCCCCGTCTTTTCTAGGTTAACTTGGAGTCCTGTATTTGCCACTTTTGTGCCAACTTGTCGGGTTTTGCCTGTAAGCGTTCGAGTTTGTGTGGCATTAGGCATAAATTGAATATGAAGCCCAGATCCTCCAGGATCTTCCTATGGGCTCAGCGAATTCCTGGCTTCTCACCCCCAGCACACGGTGTTCCGTATAATCCGGCCCTTCAAAGTTAAGAATATCATCGGTGACAACAGGCAGCCTTATCGTATATACATGTATATATATATGTATTTTTCAGAACTGGCGAAGTTTTCAGAGAATGTATAGTCGTCTCGATGCATTTTCAGAGTTAACAGGGCAGGATTTTAGACTAAAAGTGTTTCGGATTAAAAAAAATAATTTCTCATTTTCAAGAACTGTAGCTCGAATTGACAGGAAATTTTTATTTTTAACTCACTCTTTTGGACACCACTGAAGGAGGAGAATTCCAATACACGACAACTTGTGATGCATCCATTTCCTTATCAGGAGTAATAAACAGTTTTACGTTAACTGATAATTCCAAAGATGAATGATTTATCCAGTAATTTTTTAATCCTTTGGAACGAATAAAACCTGTTCTATTTTCCACATAGAAAGGCAAAAATCTGCAGTCTGTCTTTGCTTCAAGAACGAAATAAATCTGACCACCACATTCATTCACTTCATCAATAGGCATTCCATCGAGTGTAAGATGCCCAAGAATTTCATTTGGAGTTTCGGTCACATTTCGTAGAACATGGAATTCGAAAACCTTCTTACTGAAACGAATGTCTTCTAAAACTAGAATTACCACAAACATAATGTTACCAATGTTATTGTGTAAATACACTTAAAGGTAGTTTTGAATAAGAGAATTACATTTCCAGCTGCTATGTAAAAACATCTTTTATGAGAAAATTAGGAAAAAAAGTCAGTCAAAATTATCTTCAGTCACATTTAAAATACGAGAGCATTTTATAACTGTTCACATTCTTTCGTTGCTTTCTTAACAGAATATCAAGCCTCAGTACCACATCCCTAATCTACTTGGTTCTTTGCTGTCATAGTCAACTGGTTTCATGACCATCCAAAACGTCACTTCTCCTCCTCACACGATCGTCTCCAAAGTACCTCTATTCCTTCCAATGTATTTATTAGATAATGATTTGTTGGTTGGTTGATTCCCAAAGTTCCCTATTACTTATCCATTCTAGTTAACTATCTGATGTTCAAAATCAATCGAATGAAGCCATTTATGAAGGCGCAAAGCCTGCAAAGAAGGTTCCCTTCAATGAGCGGGAGAGCCGATTTCTGAGTATTTCTGTAGGTTGGTCTCCATTGAACTGTAGGTTCATATAGAGAAGTCTTTTTGGAGCACTGGGTGTGGGCGGCTTCTCTGGTCTGGCCCACACTCAGTGCTCCAAAACCTTCTTTGCAGCTGAATTACGACTGACTTTCTCCACGAGACCAATGATTCGCATGAACGTGAAGGATAAGCTACCGCTGTTGGCCTCATCTATGTGCATCTAACAATTCACCTGTTCGTGTGAAGCCAAGTATATCGGCCGTACTCAGCGTTCGCTATCCAAACGCGTCAACGATCATTTACCTTCATGGTTTTATAAAGAAGAAAACCGATGCCCTCGCAGCTCGATCCCTGAACATTTGATCGACTCTAGTCAAACCAGAAATAAACTTCAAAGTTATCTAGAGAATACAAGGCAATCTTGCTAAAAGTGTATGGATCAAACTTCTCCACATCGCAGATGCAATGGCAATTCATCTGCTAAATCCTGAACTCTGCATACAAAAGAAATTCGTTCATTCATTAAATCTACAATGGACGTAATCTTTCTTAATTTCAGTCTTACTAATTGTATTATTTTGTCTTTTGCATTTTATTATTTCACATCTTCATTTATATTATTCTCTACCCCCCCTTTTGTAATCTCTGCCCTCAATAACAATGTTGCTAACTTGACCCACGTCCAATTTCTAGTCAACTATATTAAGTCATCCGATTAACTTATTTTCAACTGTATTATTGTCTAACCCCACCCTTATTTAATTTTAACCACCACTCGTTAACACTGTTGCCAACCTGACCTACTCTGAACTGTAGTTTAAACGACGTAGCTTAATAAAGTGAGGAAGGTGACACGAACCATGAAATATATATGTATTCGTCAGTTTGAGCACAAGTGACCTCAATGAGACAACTGAATAAGGCTTTCATTCATAAATAATGTCATATATCCAGACCGCAGAGATCCTGGACCTATAGCTGGTTTCAGAAGACTAAGCCTAATAAGCAGAATACTATGCACTGTAATTGATGCAGAACAACAGAAAATTGTCGGGCAGTACGATTGTTTATTCTTCAGTCGACTACGAAACAGGTTTACAAAGGTCGATCAGCGCTAAAGTCTTCTGGTCGTATTTCTCCAGTGTTCTGCCAACCAGTATACGAGTAATTAATGAAAGCCTTTTTATCTCCCGCCACTATGGAGACCAGTTCAAATACACGAACGATTCAGAGTTCACCAGCACTGACTAACGTTTCAAGTAACCTTCGCAGTTAGGTTGTACTTTTAATCGTAGTCATTATTATTATATCTGTACTTGTACGCGTCCGTTGTTCTGCATAACTGGTTCACAAATGAAGTTCTACCCAGTACTTGTTAACTGAATAAGGTAACCAGAATATATCTTGCGTAAGAATATGGTTGTATTCCATGTTTTAGACATCAGCAGTCTGATGTCTGTTATTTCTGCTCTACAGTTTTTCAGAAATTATGATGAATTTTGAATCCGGAAACTAACATATAAGTAGTATAAAGGGATACTTGAAAGAAAGCTGATAAAAGTAGGTGTCTTAAGAGTTTCTGCATCAGAGGATTCCAGTAGAGCTAAATGGAAATTGATGTGGTAAGCAAATAAACATATTTGCTGAACGTTTATAGAATATGTGGCTGACACTCAGATTTACAACTGTAGTGTTAACTGCCGATTGAATTTATCTGAGGCTGCCCAGGAAGTCTGCAAAAGTTATAGTTTGGAGTGAGGACCGATCTGTTTACAAGACTGATGCTTATTCGGATGTTTTAACTAATTTTGCGGTTATAATCCTCTTTTCCCCCGTGCTATATATCATTGTTCTGACGTTCACAAATCACCTCTTGACTTACTCCTAATTATTTGCCTTTTTCCTCGTTTAATTCCTAATTTAAATGATTCTGTTTGCAGTTGTGTGATGAAGTTCATAACTCATTGTTTGGCGATTGTGATTTTGTTTGGATGGAGTCAAGGTCGGTCATTGGGATTTTGACCTTAAGCTATCCGTAGGTTGTGTTTGGTGGGTTGTTCTTACTGAGAGAGTTTTGATGCCACTTTGCCGGGAATATTTTTCTTGATTGTCAGGTCTTTCTTACGCCTGATTTTAGTAAAATAACTTCCTTGTACAGTAATTACGCCGGAACTATTTGGTCTGTATAGCTGCCTAAAGGCATTGTCGAGGTAGTTTTGAGTTTTTGACACATTATTTCTGTTGAATATAACCCCTACTTTCATCGCCGCACTTCGCGACTGCTAGTAACTCATGCAAGGATTGGTTAACTGTATAGTAAAATTTGAAGATTGATTTCCAGTGTTATGACCACAACACATTGGTTTCGGTCGCTACAACAATGTTAAACACACATTTAAGAATAACTTTAAAAATGTCCTCAGCTTATTTACATTCTTACCTGATATATCACAGTATTCTCCACTCCAGCACTTGTCACAAACGCATTTCATCTGATTGCATAAACCATGCTGACATCTTCAAAAATGAAAAATAAAACATAACGTTGAGCAGCCTAAAGTAATAGTTGCACTGAACCAATGAATGGGAAACTGTATGGTAAAGCTAATAACGTTGTGGATATAACACTACCTTCAGGCATTATCAAGTACGTAAAACCAAATATTGGTGAGTAACTTAGGTCATAACCTATTAGTTGCTTTAGGAACGTGTTTTATGTAGGTCCAATTTCTCTGTTCTTGTGTTGCCCTTGTTTGGGCTCTCTGATAATAATAATAATGATAGTAATAGAAAGTAATAACTTATCCTCGCAAAGTTACTGCGTGAGGAATACAAAATAACCGAATTTCCCGACTAGCCTGGAGTTCAAACAGGAAATAAAACACAGGACTGAAAGCAGTAGATATTTAGTTTTAAAGTTGGCATATCACCTCTGTGAATAAAAAGATAAATTGATTATGAGTAGGTATGAGCATTTTTCGACGATATTTAACCCAGCAGGACCGATGCATCTAGCTGTAACTAAGTTTCATATCCTAACGATTTTAGGGATTTTTAATAAAATATCAATTTCCAGGTTCTCTTCCCGAAGCTATATCAGCTAGATAGATCAGTGAAAACCAGCCAGGAGCATTGGACATCTATTTCGTCATATTTTGGAAATATTCAGCAGCGCACACCCTCAACTCAGCTAAGGGTCGGACCAAGGAGCTTAAGTTTATGAGATCCAGTCTTCTCACCCATAGCCTGTGCATCAGTCACCAGATCACTGGATGGATTTCTTGGAGCTGCAGTGTGAATTCGTGACCAGTAGGATCTACCATATTAAGGTGAGGTGGATGGTTATCATAGGCCTTGGTTGAGGGTAAAGTATATCACACAGTTAGAATTCAGGATTCAGTGAATCCCAGCTCAAGTGGCAGGATCCTCAACGAATTTGGTCTCGTAACCTGAGGGTCCCGGGTTCAATCTCTGTTGGTTTCGCGGACATGTAATGATGAGGAAACCCGAAATACGAAGAAACCGCTGTCCACAGCTCCTTAGTTTTCGATGATCTTTATAACTGATGTTAGTCCGTGACGAAAATCGAACAGCTGGACTCAACCCAAAATCCCCCCAAATCATGTAATCTGAATTTTTAAATAAATGGGGTTGGATGTGTTTTAATGCTAAATTTCAAACTATGAAAACAGAAAACACTGATCAGCACTGTACCATTATTTGGCATTTATTAAAGATGGTGTGAGTCATAGGGTTTCTCTTTCCTTGCGTTTCAGACGGAACATTGGATTTGAAACTACGAAGTATCAATCGAGATGAGGTTGTTAGTAAGTGGCGAGGCTGCTAGCCTCACACCCAATCTTCCCTCTCCACTGGGTCTACTAACAGCAAGAAGAGATCTAAGAATACGTCAGCCAGGAATCAAATTTGGACCAAATGAGTTGCGGTTGACGATCATTCTTCCACTAAAATACTGACGCACATGAGTTATAGTAAGAATGATTAATTTAACCATTTTAATTCCATATTGTTCAAACAATATTAGGATTTGATCACTGGCTTATTTCAGTTAGAAAACCATTGAAAATCCCAAGGTACTAGACAACTGCTTAATGCTGATTTAGGATTCTCCATCGGTTCGCACCTAGCAAAGTTACAACCAAGGACCCTCAGGGTTACAAGGCAAGCCCATGAGATCCATAAGGTCCATCAGGAGAAAAACTCACAAATGACATCGGCTGGTGGTCACAATAAAATCACGAATTGGTAGAAGCTGAAACTCGTGGGGTTGCTACTGAATAAGCAATAGAGGCTGAATAGTCTAAGAGCTCGCCTTTTAACCAGAAAGTACCGCGTTCCGTCCCTGATGGGAGCGTACTGTTGAAGAGCTCCAAACAAGAACAAAACAGACATTCAGTGCTCCTTGGTCCGCAATGAAAACCTAACTGATATCAATCCTTGATTTAGTCTGATGGATTGAATATTTGGATGTCAGACTTTCTATAAACTGAAGGTTTGTCAGATATCAGGACACAGCGCAAACTATAGGCGGGGATAAAACTTTTGCGTCTTCGTACTGTAAACTATGGCTGAACAACATTTTCTTGCTGAAAGCAACTTCGGTAACTGATTCTAGAGAATCAAGTTATCACTCTCATTCATGGGAATCGCATATATTATCAGATCTTTAGTCAACAGAAAGTTGATTTATCTAAATATGCTCATGAGTAATAAATAATATACTGAATATGTGTAGGACCTATGCTCCATGGTAGTATGTAATTCCAAATTAATTTTTTCATAAGATTAAATTTTTTCAACAAATCAGCCTAAAGATAGATGTGATAGGAGCGTCCTAACCGCTCCACGTCTGCCCACATGTTTTCATCTCCTCTTCACATGACCTCCCCCATGTCACCCTAGCACTGACGACCAGCTCGCTGCTTCCCATTCCCTTTCCACTCGAACAATGGCCTGGCGTGTGATGTCGCTCATTTGATTGTTTTTTTCCAGAGTATGGCGAATCCACTCCCATTTCTTCCTGGATATTTATTGCACAATTGGTTTCTGCTGGGTTAGTTCTCTCATTGCCAGAGATCCCTGTTGTTCATCTCTTCTGGCCGTCTGTTCTTGAGTATTGAGCAAGATAGCTATTGATGAAAGTTTGTAGTTTGTTCGAAGTGCCCTTCGTGACGCGGCGCCAAGTCTCTGATCCGTATAGTAACTTGTATCAATATCTAGCATCGACTTCACATTGGAGTTGAAAATCCGGATCTTATTTTTCATACTGAGTGCTGCTGATTTCCACACACACTTGAGAGTAATGGAAGCTTGCCTTGCTTTCCCGATCCTCAAATAGATATCCTTATCAGCTCCGGCCCCCTGTAGTTGAAACGATGCTTCCTAGGTCAGTAGGTAAAGGAGGTTGCTTCTTTCAGATTTCCCAAGCTTATGATGATTGTTGTCTGTTGTTGTTGCTGTTGGCCAGGAATCTTCATCACCTCTGTTTTCTCTATGTTCACCTGAAGGCCTATCTTCTCTGGATGCTTCTTCTGCCAACTTGTTGTTTTTCACTTGAATATCTTCCAGTTTGTGGGAAATCAGATATATATCATCGGCGAAGTCCAGATCCTCCAAGTTTTTTGTGTGAGTCCATTTTATGCCTGTTTTCTCACTTCTGACTGTCCATCGCATTATCCAATCTACAGCAGTCAGGGAAATCATTGGCGATAGCTGGCAGCCTTGTCTTACTCCTGTCCTCACTTCGAAGGATTCCGTAAGTTTCCTGTTGTGGATTACTTGGCATGCGGCATTGTCGTACAACTGTTGATGAAGTGTATAATTGTTGGCCGCACTCTGTAGTAGCAAAGTAGTTTCCAAATCACCTCTCGATCGACGCTGTCGAAGGCCTTTTCATAGTCGATGAAGTTGAGATAGAGAGGTGACTGCCATTCCAAGCTCTGTTCAATGATGATTCCTAGTGTGGCGATTTGATCTCGTTTTTAACTGAGTCCAGGCTGTTCCGATAAAAGGTTTTCATCTAGGGCTTGTTTGATTCTCTCCAGGATGATGCGGCTCAGTATTTTGCTTGGGATGGACAGGAGCATAATACCGCGCCATTTCTTGCATTGACTTAAGTTTCCTTTTTTTGGCAGTTTGAATAAGTATCCTTTCTTCCACTTCTCGGGTACATTGCTCTCTTTCCACACCTTCTCCAGTAGTGGTGTCAACGCGTCCGCTTCTGGTGGTATTCCATCTAGTCCACCCGCTGACCAACTTAGAAGCAAACTTTGTTGGCTAAATTATCCAGTGGAACCAATTAAAGAAAATAGTTTGTTTATCTGTTACAGTACAGTGATTGTCAGCTCAAAGGACTAGGATGGTGTCAATCAGACAAATGGAATATGAAAAGTTAGCAAAGCCTAGATTAGTTCACCCTGAGAAGATAAGGGATCTGAAGGATAGCTCACCTTTGGCACTACATGCAATTAAACACAACCCTATAGTGGGATGGGAAAAGGTGACAGTCTTAACATCGAATGTAACAGGGTGGAGGAAGAGATTGATAACGTAAGCTTTATTTATCGAATCAACTAAAAATATGTGCAATAGAAAAGAAATAACATCTGTCCCTGACATCTGGAAAATTCTACCACCTCTAAGACGAATGGAAACGAACAAATAAAACAATAAAACACAAGTTTTGTTTTCAAGTATTGGTTTTGTAGGGATTTTGTTTGATTGGATGGAGGATTTCATCATGAGCTCATGATGATTGATATGGCTATGGAAAACAGCGTTCACAGCTTCCTTATGCAGTGTGTGATATATTCAATAAAGAAAATCAATACAGAATTAACGAAGAACACAATATTCAGCGAAAAGACTCTTTTCAACGAATTTATTATCAAGCTGTACAATCGTATATATATGTATTTATTTTAAAATTATATCCGGTGCGGTGTGAATACATGAAATAATAATAGTATGAAATGCAATTAAAATATTTGTCATTATAATCATAGTTTAATGTCAAGTGGCAAAATAATTAATGTCGTATATAGAATAATACCTAAGGTGTATAGATTTTGGAAAGGGTACATAAATATAAGATTAGTAGACGAATATGAAATGTTGCACAACATGGTGTGGAGTAAGGTACATTGGCCGTAGTCAGAGGACGCTTTCCACATGGATACGAGAACATATTCCAACACGCTTTTATAAGGGAGAAAGGAAGTGTGTACGAAGCTCTATTCTGGAACACCTGATCGACTTCTGTCACTCTGTCAACCCTGACCATGATTTTAAGATCATATATAGAATCCATACTAACTTCCCGCGTTTTCTTCGTTACGGACTTCTGAAAACAGCTGAGGCCTTGGCAATTCATGACTTTAAGCCAGACCTTTGTGTACAGAAGAAGTATGTACAATCCCTACTTCTGCCTTGGCCGTAGAGGGATAAACATTTACGTATTTTGTTTATTTAG